AAAAAAAAAAAAAAAAAAAAAAAAAAAAAAAAAAAAAAAAAAAAAAAAAAATTATGGAGTTTTATTTGGGTATAACTATATAAACATTGCTATATAAACATATTTAACTTCTAAATTTTCAATCTAAGTACATCAACTGATACATTTTAAATGTTCTTAAAAAATTTAAACAATATCCTCTAAATCATTAATAAAGTGGTCTTCCAACTTTTGGAAGAAGTTTAGTTTCCAAACTCTAGAAGTAAATTAAAACAGGAAAATGCTATGTTTAATGTCAATATTTTGATTATATTTTTTTACTGTTTCACTCTTTTTTTTGTTTTCTTTAATCATGATTTATGTATAAAGCTCAACAGTTTGTCAGACTGTCAATATACACACATAGTAAAAAACACTTTAAATAATTATGCTAATAATAATAATTAAATGTTTTTTTTTCAGGAAAATGAAATTGACACTCTTTTCTATTTCTTTTATAATTTGAGTTAATAATTATTTTCAGACCTTTTGTTCTTTTCCCAGTCTCATGCCTGAATAAATCAAAATCTAATAAGTACTGGGCTAATAGTAGAATATGTTGAATGTAATGCAAATTTCACAATTTGTTAGTAAAATTTTTAAATAAAGAGAAAAGTACATTTATCAACTTATCTCTAAATATTTATATAGAAATAATTAACTTATAACTGATATTGAATGTAGAATAAAATAGATAATATAGATTTGTTCTATCTCATGCTGTTTTATTAATTTATGTTCTAGAATGTGGAAAGATGTCACAACAGCATTGCGATTAAGGAATGTTGAAGCTGCTACTGAAGCCAAATTTATTTTGGAGCAAAAACAGAGATTAGAAGCAAAGGAAAGATTAGAAAATAAAAGAAAATGGGAAACTAGGGTAATTATTATAGGTTTTTGCTTTATGAAGAATATCACTTCTCTCAATCATTAATGATTAAAGAATGCTATACAAACTGAAGACATGAAAGTGCTAGTATTTATTCGTGTTATTCATATAAAGTACTGAAAAAATATTGTGACCCAAATGTTTTGAATGTTAAAAAAATACTTTACATTTTATTTTTAAAGGTTAAACAGTATTCTCTCGTAGTTGTTACCATCCCTTTTTATTCATACTGTTAGTTATGTTTTGAAGATCTAGATATTTCACTTTAAAAAAAAAAATATTATGTGAATAATTAAACTTGTAATTTGCACTTATTATGATTTATTATATATAAATTGCCAAATAATAAAGGATTGAGTATTATATTTTTATTATTGTTTTATTCTTAAAAACATTATTCTACGGTTGATTAAGCTAGATTCCTTTTATGTTTTATCCATCTCTTTTTTTAATAGTTTAGTTGCATTATAAAGTTATTTTATTATATTTTATCATTTAATTGAAATACTTGGATATATTTTTACTTTTTCCATATGTAAGTTTTCTTTTATTGCAATTTTTTTTTAATAAATATTTACTTAATTTATTCTATTTAAACCTACTTTATTAGTGATTCAAGATAAAATATTCATGAATAAATAATATTAAATCTTTATTAGTAGATAGAAAATTATAATTTTTTAATTTACCTCTTATTTCCTCATTGTTTCTTGAGTAAAATCCAAGATGCAAAAACTTTTCTAAAAATTGTCCCATTTTTTGTAAAATGGTGTTTGATTTAGTTTTTTAATTACTACTAGGTCGGTAAGTGATATTCTTATTTAATCAGTTGACTTACTTGGCTCTTAAAGTAGATTTAAAAAAAAATAAATAAAATAATAGCATAAATTCATAGTGTTTTTTTTAAAATAATACAATATATAACATCTCACATTGAAATTACCATTTGGAATAGTACAACTGTTTTATGGATTTTTTAAAAATTGGCTTGTTGGTGCAATCTTATCTTTTAACAGCAGAAATTCATAATATTTAAAAAAAAAAAACATTTTAAAGTAGTTAACCAAAATCTTATACTTTAAAGAATGTGCTGTTGCATGATCAAATACTCTCTATTCATTTCAGTTCATAACTGTATAAATTCTACGTTAGAAATTAAAATTAGATTGACTCGAAACTTTATTTAGATTGACTGAAATTAGAATTAGATTTTACAGTTAGTCTTTGATTCATCTATGACCCAGCTACCTTTTTACGATCTGAGAATTTAATATACAATAGGAGAAATTACTTTTTACTGATTTAAAAAGAAAATATATTATTCCTTTAACAATGTTTTTCAAATAATTTATTTGATACAGCATCATGAATGATTTATGTCAACTCACATAAATTAGTTAAGATGTGCCATAACCAGACATTCCCTCTACCTGAGCTTGACCGAAGGCAAGGCACTTTTTTAGAAGACAGAATACTTTTTAGTTTATTAAAAAGGTGCAACATAGAATCAATTAATAACCATTACCTGCTACTTACTAATTTTTTCATATGCTTAAAATAATGTTAAACCCATGTATTTTGTTACTTATTTAAATTTTTTGATTATGGATTAGGTTGTGATTTTTTTCAAAGCCATTCTTTTAGAAGTTGTGTTATTTTTGAGTTCTCGTTCATTTCTTATCCCTTAGAAATGCTTGCATGTGTTTTTTAAGGTAGTGAATGTATTTATGATATTATTCATGTCTCCAGTTTTTTTAAACTTATTCTTTATTTTTTTGAAAAATATCAAACTTTCTTTGGGAACGGTATGATGTACGATGCGTAAACAGAAGATATTGACTGAATAGCCATTTTTATTCTTAATACTATAAGCAATCTTTTGAGTCATGATGGCTCAGGGGATAGAGGGCATTCGCCTTCCAATCATGTGAACTGGGTTCGAATTTCATCAATAGATAATCTGTATGAATTCCGCACCTGTCTTGCATTAACCACAGTGCTGCCAAATTATCCTCAGTGGATCATGGGTTATAGCCTCCTTGCCGTAAGGCTAACCATAGTAGATTTTCCTCGCCATGTAACACAAATGCGGCTTACTTTCATCAAAAAAGTCCTCCGCGAAGGCAAATGTCTCCTAATACTTGAACCAAGAGTTCCCTTATTGTTAATGCAACTTGGGTCCAAAATTCCAAGCTACAGAGTTGAACATTCCAAAAATTGGGTCGGCTGTTCAACAACAGTTATAAAACTTCCTTTGGGTTGCTTAGAATGCTTAGTTAAGCAATATTTCTCTGTTAGTTTTAATCCATTTTTTATCATTTCATTTTATTCCTGAGACAATTACAATGACTCAAATACTTTTAAATACTCATTTTCTATAAATAACAAAAAATTTTTGAAATGTTACAAAATGTTCTCATTTTTGATACAGTTGGCCATTAACTTACTATCATTGACATTTCGGATAGCCCTACCATCCTCTAAGGAAAAGGTGTGCAATATCATTTAGCCCAATGAACTTTCACTTACAGGTTTTCACTGTGGTTAGTTGCTTTAGTAATATTTGAACAGACCTTTTGAGGCTATGTTTCTTGTCAAAAAACACATTTTTAATGTTATTAAATTTACCTACAGGCAGCACTGCCTTACACTTGAACACAGTCACAAATGAGTTGATGTCACATAGACAGAATAGTATACTTTATTTAGTGGTGCTGTAATTCATTTTGTCAAACATAATAAGTTTTCACCTATTTGTATTATCTTTTAAAAATTCACTTTACTTTTTATGCACCATTTTTATTTATAAATAACTAAATATTTTTGTTCTTTTTTTCAGGCTTTTCACGAAATCGGAGAAAATTGGGTTTATGATAAGTCTTTGCAAGTGAGATTGCACGAAAAGGAAAATATTCAGTCATAAATTTCATTCTCTTTACAATATTCAACTTAAATAGACTTTCCTGAAGAAATTTGTAAAAATTTTGCTAAATGGATAAATTTATAAATATTATGCTTATTTTTCTTATTTAATCTATATATATTATTTAAAGCTAGATTGACTCAAACATAACCTGTGTTGCACACTTCTCATAAATTGCAGTAAAAAATTTTTTTTTCACTATAAGAGTACTTATTTTAAATTGAATAATTATAAAATATGTTATAATATATCCTAAATAGAAAGTGACAATAGTTTCTATAAAAAAAATTACAGTGGATAGATGGCATTCAACCCTCTTTGGCTTAAAAAGCAATGCCTCAATAATACTCATTTAAACTGGTTTAACTTAGGTTTAGATTTTATTCTTGCTTTGTCCTTTACATATTTATGTATATATATAAACCAATTTCGATATTAATATTTCAAAAAATAATAATAACTTTTTTCTTTTCTTTTTAAACCATTTTCTGTAATTTAGTATTTTTTTCACTCTTATCTTAAGAAAACATATTTACTCCTTTTTTTTAATACTATTTTTATTATTTTAATATATTATGCGCTAAACACTCATTAATACTGTGGGAAAGAATTTAATATTCCTGTTTTCCCCATAAAATATGCAAACAATTTTAACTTAATTAGTTTTCAGAACTTTTATCTAAATCTAAGCTGAACACAATATTATTAGATTATTTTTATTAGATTTAACATAATATTCTATAATAAAATTATTAGATTTAACAGAATTTAGATTATTTTTGGAACCATTCAATGATATCCTCTGATCTTGTAGCTGTTTGTGTAAATGACATTTTTATTAGATTTCTGCTTTAACTTGGAATTGAGAATTAATTGTAAAAAAGTGATACATTTGACTTACAGTAATAGTAAAATTATTATAAGTAGCAATTTTACTGTTGATAAATTGTACATTCATTTCTGAAATATATTATAATTGTTATGTATATGTTGTTTATAATCTCTAGCTAAATTAAATACCTTTGGAAACAGCCTTTGAGCTGTGCTTTGTTTAATTTTACCTTATGTGACCTAGGAATTTCTCAAACTTAGAAACATTTTTTGAAATTCTATTTTTAACACGTCTGATCTCTGAAAAAGAACTTTTAAAATTAAGAAACTAATCTTTTATTTTAAAGCTTCAAAATGTTATAATTCAAAATTAATGTGTAATAGCAGCTTATTTGATATTCAAATGTAATTTTATTGAAATTAGATTTTTAATATATATTAATGGTTTATATGTTTCCCTAGGCTCAAAAATATAATTTTTTTAAAAATAAATTATTTATAAAAAAAAAGTATGAATTTAATTTAAGTATAAGTTCGATTAATAAATAGTGGCTTGCCAAAAAAATAAATAAATTTCTTAAAAGCATATAAAAAGAAATCTAATGATAATTGACATTGAGCTAAAGTGGTCAATATCATTATTAATTGAACTAGTTAAAATAATAATAATAATCAACATTAAAGAAAAAAAACATGCATGTAATTTTTAAATAACTATGAAATTTTATTGATTAATTTGGAGGCTCTTACTCCAACTGCCTTTGCGCACTAAACTCTATGATTGTTAAACAATTTTTTGTTTTCTAGATGTTAGACAGATAGTTACATCATAAATAAAGTCTCCAATTAAATAATATATTATGTTTTATTGTATTAATATAGATTTAGTTCTAAAATCTATAAGGATACTAATAGTTTTACCCAATTGCCTTTGCAACGGCATCTAAAATTTTAACTCTTAAAAAAAAAACTATTTAAATGTTTTTCACTGTACTATAAAGATTATTTATTAATACTATGAAAAGATAATTTCTGATGATGTCTTACCCTCTTGTAGTCATCCTATTGAATGCATATGATTACCAGACACAAAGCTTATCATATAAGTAAATATAACTTAATTCTTGTTTAATAAATGATTCATAATCTTTGTAACGTTTTAAATACATATATTAATCATAAAATTTCAATTAAGATATAAAGATTTGATTTGCCTTATAATAAAGATACACCAGTTTTAGTTTGTTTTTAACTTTTTTTAGTTTGAAGCCTTTAATTTAAAATACTAATCAAAAATATAATACCAGAGAATACACTTCAGAAGTGGTGATAATTAAACATTATACCTTATTACTGTTAAATAAGGGTTAAAGAAATATTTTAAGGTAAAAAAAAAAGAAAAAAACTTGTTATTTTCATAAATTTTTTCCTGATGACAACCAAAAAAATTGGTATCATTATTATTGAAGTAATCACACTGTGAGTTTTCGGCCAATAAGAAAATTATGTTTATAAGTTTTTAAAAATATCAAAATTTAAAAAATGTATATATAAACCTATTTTGGGTTACAATGTAATATTCTTTATTATCATTATCTTTTTAAGATGAAGGTAGCATAGTGGGAGATTTTAATTTTATAGAACTTTTTTTAACTGCAGAAAACTTACTTTCATAGCTCAAAAAAGAATTTTTATTTTTCTGATAGCATAAGAATTTAAAGAATAAGAAACCTTGTTTAGTTAAAGAAACTGCTATGCCTTCATTTATGTGTATATCTACGTTGTCTCAAATTTACATGTATATTTGTTTCTTTATAAATATTGATATTCTGTACAAATTTAGTTTTTTTATTTGAATATAATAAATTTTATTTACTAGTTTGTTCTTTTTTTATATAATTGACTGTTTTCTTATTAAATAAATTGAATTTAGACCAGAGTTAGAACATTCATTTTTACTTGGAACACTTTTTTATACAAAATTCTTTTTAAACGATTGCTTTATTCACTTGAAGATACTTTTTATTTGAGTCATTATATATATATTGTGCAAAATAAAACCCTGAATAACCCTTTTGATCCGATAATCCAATTTTCAATCTTTATGGGTCAAATGCTAAACTATTAAATAAGCTAATTAATTAGAGATTATATTTTAATTTACAAAATCAGTAGCATAACACACTTTTAATAAAAATACCTCTTTTTTTATAAAGTGCGATTTCCAAACCTTAAAATATAGTGGGTTGTTGAAATGTGAAAAACAGTCTCAATAGATGAAAGTTTGGACCCCTTAATGTTAATTTCACTTTTTGCATAATTCACCATATCTTGAATAGTAGAAATTTCTTCTGTTATCTGATAGAATTTAATTAGACAAAAATTGTAAAAAAAAAAAGCTAAATTAATTTTTTTTCTTGATGTTAAAAAATTTGAAATTCTGTCAAGAAGAAATTCATTACATTAAATTCCTTAAACTCAAATCAAAAATTTCTCTGACTTTTCTATACTCCGTTTCAAGTTTAGAAAAGGTCAATGCTATATAGGATTTGAGTAATATAATTAAAATTATATAATTATGCTTTTAGAACAATAAGAAGCATTTAAAAGTTAAACTCGGACAGAAATTTAATTCATGCTAATTTTTATAATCAAAAAGGCCACGCTGCACCGTTTCAAAAGTTGGCAATGTTGATATTTGTTTGCCCTTGGAGCTTAGCGTGTATGCACAGGCTTTCTCCATAGGGATAATGGCTTTTTCTTAACTTGTATAGGTTATCTTTATCTCTAGATAGTCAAATAGTTTAATAGGTTTCTAGTCAAATAGGTTTTTCAGTTGAGAAACTGCTATTTGATCTTAGCATGCAAAACAAAGTTAATACCAAAAACAAATGCAATACTATTTTTTTTTAATGAGGGTGCCAATTATTTAAATACAATATTTTATGTGGTAAGTAAAAAAAAGTTTTTTTTAAATGAAATAATTTTACAACAAAAAAAAAAAAATCATACATTCAATATATTAAAATTTTATTTTTATAAAGAAATACGCTGGATTTTATGAAAAGTCATTTAAAATTTCTATTTTATACAAACGAAAAACCTTTTTTTACCCATGATCATCAAACTATATATGAAGAAGTCATTTTAAATCCATGATCATTTAAAGAATTGAGAATGCAATGCAAACTATAGGTGTCGATTTCCTCTCAAATTCGGGGGGGGGGGATTATATTTATGATAATAGGACTGCATTAAAAAGATAAATAAAGATATTGTTATAACGAATTTGAGTGGTAAATCATAAATATTGGAAAGTAATATTTTAAAAATATTTATTATTAGATTCTCCATATGAGACTTATTAAAAATATAATTTTTTAATTTCACAAATAAACAATTTTGTGTTGAAATATCTACAAACTATATAAAAAAATAAATAAGTAAAAATGTCAAATAAAACAGTCAAAATATTAAGAAATTTGATATTGAAATAATTTTTAATACATATCAGTTACTCTAATCTTTCTCTTACTATTTATTTTTCTAATGAACTTAATTTTTATTCAAGAATAAAATGAAGAGGATATAACTTAAACAAGATTAAAGATAATTTGACAAGATTAAAGCAATTTAGATTCAAATTTTAAAAAATAACTTAACAAGTACTTAAAAGGTGCTTATTTTTATTGAAAAATCTAGCTATGCACCCTGATTGATTTTTGAACTCCTTTAACATGTTATGAAAAACCTTAAGTAATTTCAGAACCCACATAAAATGTTCTTATTGGTAATATTTTTAAAGAAATCACTGAAACATGGTAAATTGTTAAAGGGGGTTTCCTTCAACTATGTCCATGTTGCCAACTATTTAATGAAATCTTAAGTGTTTTAAAAGAAGTTTGTATTTTATACAACTGAAAACCCTTTCTTAATATAAATCCACGTTCATTTAAAGAATCTAGAATGGATTGAAAACTATTAAATGAAATTTTAAGTGTTTGAAGAAATTTTTTTAAAGGGTCTGTATTTTATACAACTGAAAACCTTTTTTTAATAAAAATCCATGATCATTTAAGGAATCTAGGATGCATTGAAAACTATTCAAAGAAATCTTAAGTGTTTTAGCAATGTCTTTAATTTCTGAAACTGTAAAACAGTCATCTGCTTTTGTCTTTGCAGCTTTTGTGAGACCATTCATGAGTTTCTTTGCTTGAGATCGATTACTCATTCCCGAACCATGTATGGATCGATCTACATCTAAAAAGCCCGATTCATCTGAAAAAGTATCCCACATGCTGTACTTCATTATCTGAATCACATCCTTTGCATCTTCTACGGTGCAGTGGGATCTTAATTCCACACGAGCCCTCGCTCTAGTAAGTCGAATGAGGGATTCCAGCTGCCGCGTTGTGATAGGACTGCCCTGATGTACCTTGTGGATTCTTCTCATGTCTAAATAAATTTTTTTTATCAAATCACATGCCGGTGGTGTAAGTTTTGGCTGAGAAAACCTTTTGGCATAAGTAATATATTTTTGTAACAAATTATGCGGTATATAATTCAGCTTCTCATTGAATTTTAATTGCAATCGTTTCTTCAAGTCACCATCAATGCTAAGAGACTCGTTCAGCAAAGGCTTTTCAAAGTGATGGCTGACCTTGGGTTCAGTGTGAAGGCCCATGACATGATTGCTCATCTTATCATCAAACAATGTGTCTGGATTATCTTGAAGAATAAAAACAAGATCGAATCTAGAGAGCAGGGCACCGTTTATTTTTAAGTTTTCTGAAACTGTTTTACTTTTGCTGTAGTGTCCACCAGAGGGATTTGCTACTGCAATAATTGAAGTTCTAGCAGGTAGCGTACAAACAACACCACTCTTAGCAATGCTAATTGTTTGTTGCTCCATAGCCTCGAGCAGAGCAGAGTGTTGTTGCATCATTTTATCAAACTCATCTATGCAACAGTGACCTTGATCAGCTAAAACTAGAGCACCAGCTTCTAATGAATTCTCCCCGCCACCCCCTTTTGAGATTGTAACAGTAAGGCCAGAGGCAGTCGTCGAATTGCCACACACGTAGACTCCTCTGGGCGACACGTTGGCGCACGCCAAAAGCATCTGGCTTTTTCCCAATCCAGGGTCTCCCACCACGAGAACGTGAGAGTTTTCCCTCGTTGATATTTTTGCATTCAAACTATTCTCTTTATGATTGGCACTTCCACCAAAGAGGGCCAAAGCCATGCCTGCTTTAATCAGCTCGTGACCAAATATATTAGGACTCAAAGAAGCGACAATAAGCCTGAAAATGTTCGACTCGGAATGAATTTTTTTAATGGCAATAACATCTTCCGATTTCAAGTCATTATTCTCATCAACGTCATCTACATTCTTACCTTTGATACAAGTCACTGAATTTGCATTGATGAAGAGGGAATAATTGCAAGCATCTTTACTCGCAGTCATTTTTTTCTCATTAGCGTTGTTGACATCCGCTATGCCGGAAATAATGACAACATCTCCAGGAATGCACCGATCTGTTAAATCACACGCCAGTTCGCATTCTAAACTTCTGGGGACTCTCCCACCTTCGCTCTGATCCGCATTCAATTCTTGCAAGCGAATCGATTTCCACGGAACTGTTTGCGTATATGGAGAATCAAGCAATGGCTTAAAAGTTTTTGAGTAACAACCTTTAGTGAAACATTTATTTGGATATGTGTAACATCCTTTTTCTTGTTTCGTAATTTGAATTTCTTGGCACTTCAAGCAAGAAAAGGCAATCTCAACACAGAAAGGTTTTACGTCTGCAGAGCAAACAACAATCCCCATAACTGTTACAAAGTGCCCATAGTTGTACGTTTTTAAATCTTGAAAACGTAATAAGTTACTGGAACCAATGAAGCGTGGGACTATTTTCGGTTGTGGAACATTATCTAAATTACATTTACTATTTTCAAGCAAGTCAGGCGAACATTTCAGTTTAATTACTCGCTCCATAGCATATCCAAATATACTCATTACTAAAACGGGTGTATGCGTTAATTCTGTTAAAAATTTAGGCCATGATAAAAACGAATCTTTTTTAGATAAATGCGAAACATTTAACGTGAAATATCTGTTTTCGTGAATTTCAATTAACGCATCTTCTTCATAACACAAAAAATAATGTTCAACAATTCTCAATTTCGACATTACTGTTAAATCACCTTCTGGAATATTGTCTGGAAAATATAAATCCCAGTCATTTTGCAGATTAGATGAATTCAAAGGCCGACTATTAGCCTTAGGAGCAAGTGACGTTACTGATCTGTTATACTTGTTATGGTGAGATTTTTCAAACTTTCGTTTTTTCTTAACACTTCCATCGTCTTCCTCCATTTTAAACGTAATTCAAATATCGTCTGCAAAAAGAGCGCCTTCAGTTTCGTATTTTTCTGTTTACCTTTATTACATGACAGGTACAGTTAATTAATTTCAAATTTCACTGTTTAAAACGAAAACTACTACTTTGACTTTAACAAGATTATTTATGACCAACTACTTCTACTTTAGGTCGGCTTATTTGTTTACATTTTGTAAATGCGGACTCGCTGGATGCGGAACTGCGGGAAGGTAGTGNAGGACAGGGAGGAGGCGTTACTCATTATGATTAGTATACTGCGCATGCTTGAAAACATGCCTTGAGGGATCATCCTGTTTCCTGAGGATTCACAGGCATCCTCACGCTATACACTACCCGGAATGAAATATAATTTAGATATGATAAAACAATAATAAACGATGTACAAGTTAAAGGTTTCTAAAAAAGTTTTTAGTGGAATTACTCAGCAGGTATATTCATAATGCAGAAGTAACTATACAATGACAAAATTTGTTGATTTTATTTGATTAGAAACCAATGCGTAATTCTGGACTGCATAATAGGATTGAAATTATTTTATTTTACCATTATCAAAATCCATTCCCCCCAAAGTAAAAATTCAATATTAGAAAGAGAGAGTGTTAAATAAGTAAATCATGAAAGTTTTTGAAGATATGTATAATTTAACCATTATTTAAATTAAATAAATACTGAGATTTTTGCTCTTTCATAGAAAACAAATCTTCGAAGAAAACATATATTCATTTTAACGCGTACGCCGCCACTCCAGAAAAGACGTGCTGATCATCTGGTCGTTTTGCTTTAAGGTTATATTATTCTAAATGCCGGTTTGAGCATAATTATATTTGCTACAAGAACACCTTATACTTAAAACTTTAATTGAACGTAGATATTTCTGTAACGTAAGGGAAATATAGTTAATAGATAGTCTACCTTTTCCAAAGTATATAGAGAAAGTGCTAATTTTAGCGTCATTGATCATGTAGCAGTTCCCTTCTAGAAAATCTATTTTTAGATCAAACCCCCAAATTGTGCCTCTTCAGCCAAATTGTGCCTCTTCTTGAGAAATTTTCAGGATTTCTATACTCATTCCAGAGAGTATCCCGTCAGCGAGCAGGCGCACAAAACTTGTTACGTTTCAATAAATTTATGTTAAGTTTTAGAATCGTCATCCTTGCTCTTTTCACACACTGGAGTCCTCATAATATAATTAGTAATTAGAGGAAATTAATCTACACTTTGAAACCTCTAAAATCAAAATTGCATAAGGAAGAAATTGTGATTGTGGATATTACCGCTCCGTGATCTAATGTGCCAAATGGATTTTAAATTTACAAATTTAAAAAAAAAAAAAGAAAAACATGTAGATGTTTTTCTGGATGTTGGCTATGAGTTATATCTTTCGAGTTGGTCCTTTTCTGTTATGCTTTTTTTAGTTTCTCGCAGGCCATAGGCTAATAATTGCAAAGACTTGGCTATTATTCTGCTGCAGATTACGATACGGAAATCTCTCCTTAAGATTAAATACTGAGTGTAAGTTTTTAAAAGAAATTTTTCCTTCAAAATTAAGGTATTTTGAAAACTTATTTGAAAATAAAAGATGATATGAAAGCGTAGCAAATAAATTATCTACTCTTAAGAAAATTTACATTGAAAAATTTATGAATGTAATTTTTTTAGATTTAAAATGACATACAGTTACTTTGTTAATTTTAGTTACTAAAGCCTCAGACATTAAAGTATGCTACTAATCCTCACATGCCTGAAGCCTGGGTTGCTGCTGCTAGGAAGGTATTAAAAGGCAAGGATCCTTTAGAAGTGTTGGGCTGGCACACTGCTGAGGTAAGAAAAAAATTTTAAGTAAAAATTTCTGATATGGATGGTTGACAGTGTGAAGCTCAGTGCAGATGAGGCTAAGGGTTAAAATTCATTTTAAGACTTGCAGGTTACTACTTCCGATTGATTTTTCTGCCTAAACTTGAAAAAATGCGTCAAACAATATTATTATACTACAGTAGAGAACCAATTATCCGGGAGGCTCGGGACCATAGCTATCCCGGATGTCTGAATTTCCCGGTTTTCTGGATCGACCAAAAAGTGTCGTTAATCAATGTTTTATCGAACCCGAATTACAAGGAAAAAGTGTAATGTATAAAGTAAGAGAAAAAAGAAAGATACTCCTAACTTTAAAAAGAAAAAAAAAATGGTAGAAAAATAAAATTTAAAGGAATAAAAAAATTTGCAAGTTTAGACAAGAAAAACAAGATTAAAAAATACCAATTTCTCGTATTTATTTTTTAAACGTAATTACAATTCCTGAATTAACTAATATAAACAAAACCAATGGTTAAATAACGCAATATATTTCATACCTAATTATACGGGGGAAACGATAAAATAAAAGGAAAACTTATTAAAACACTTGAAAATTAATGAACCGAAACGATAGCTAAAAAAGGCACTAGCATAAATATTGAAACCCGGAATAAAGCAAGATCAACGGAATTTTTTAAAAAAACCTAATGATAAAATTTATGAATAAAAAGAATTAATTTATTGAGTGCGAAATTTATCGTGAAAAGAAAAAAAAATCAAACGTAGTGGAATCAGAAAAACAAAACTGTAATCTGCTTCATAAAATAATCCTATGTTTAAATTAATAAACAATTCTCCTTTTATTTATTTATTTATTTTTTTGTTGTTGATAAAAACATGATATTTAATTACAGCAGATGTGATTCCACATCAATAAAAACTTGCAAATGATACCACACTTGAATTTATTCAGAAGAAAAAGATTTTATTTTTATTAATCAATATATTTTTCTCTTTCATCTTCTGTTCACTAATATGCATGCAATGCATTTTCCCCACCCCCTCGTAAATTAAACAGAAAACGAAATCAGCATGCCGCACCCTTGAGCTTGATTGACGGCCTAAAGGAGAAAATAAAACATTCCTCCCTTTCCTGCCCTCAAGGTCACAGAGGAAATGACGCTCCTCTGCGTAAACGGGGAAAAAAATTCTCCCCTTCCTTACATTTTCCTCTACTCAACTTCAAGGATGAGTTCATTTCCACTTTTTTTCATAATTGTTCTAGTTTAAAATGGCGGGAAAACCGATCAAAATTTTTCCCGGTTTTCTGGTTTCCCGGTTATCTGGATACCAGATAAATGGTTCTCTACTGTAATAGTATTTATAAAATAACACATTCTTCCTATTTAAATGTAAACAAAGCAAACAGCAAATGAATTCAGAAGACTAAGCACACATGCTCTGATGCAAACCCAAAAATATCAAACTATGATATTTCAAACAAATATAGCCAAATAAGAGATAAAAATCAAAACATGGCAAACCTTACACTTTATTTATGTTTTTATATTAATTTTTTAAAATTTGTTTAAGGCTCACAATGAGTTAGAATTTGCAAACTACAGTCTAAAAACTCTTATGAATGGTAAAATTATGGTTAAACTTAATCGCAAATTTACTATAATAAAACTTCCTAGAACAGCGGTCTATTAAGAAGAAATTTGGTTCTGTTAACGCACCCTTCACAAAATATCTTTTCATAAAAACGGACCCTTCACAAAATATTTGAACTTAAAAACGGACCTTTCAAAAAATAATTAATCTTTTTATCGGACCCTTCACAAATTTGTTTGTCTTCATTATTGTTTTGTTAATCAAATAAACCCCAATGTAAACAAACTAAGTTTTGTCTTCAGCAGATGCTTCTTTCTTTATTTGCCCGAAATGAATATTTTGCCTTCAGCAGTATAGGCTAAATACCAAATATTCGTATGTTGCCTCTCTAATTTAGTAGCAGCAATTGCTGTTTATTTTGTAAAATAAATTTTTTTTATTATGATTTTACAGTGGTGAGCATAATCTAGTATCTCTTTACAATTTAAAAACTCCTTGAAAAAGTTTTTTGCAATAACAGGACCCTATTTGCACAAATACACAAAAGCAGGACCCTGGTTGAAAGAATTTAATGTAACGTTTATTTTACATTCACAAATTACGAGTAATTTTTTCACAATTTTATAAAAACGGACCTTTCGCAAAGTGTCTGGACAGACCCCTGTAGAATATTAAGCCTGTTCACACATCGCCTCGAAAACATAACACAAGCGGAGGGATACATTAGAATTTTTCTAAATTTCTTTTGGTTTTAGGAAGCCTGTTATTGTTTTTATCAGTCAACCTGATATATATATANTATATATATATATATTCATTACCTAGAACAGAAAGTTATCTCGAATTGAAATCAGTAGTTTTGTAAAACTAGTTTTTCAGCGTATCCACATTCAGTGGAATTTCTTCAAATAAGTCTTGTGAGTTGTTTTGTTTGCTTTACATATTTAGCATATGGTTATGTAAGGTTGTATTTGGGAGAGTTAAAATTGTCTCACACTGCACAAATCATATAATATTTGTCTGTAATGTAATATTTATTATTTGCATTCATGGTAGTTTCTCCATCTATCTAGTCTGGTAGAAAAATAGGGAATATGGGAGCTTGAACATTCATCATGGGAGGGTGAAGTGGCCATCTGCTTACTATTCCTTCTGCCTTCATTAAATCAAGGCTTGTTATGAACAAGTTTGACTGTATATTTCACGTTGCGTAGTGTTTTTAAGAAGCGCTTATTTGCGATTTTCGTTTTTTAAAAATCCTTTAAGGGGCTTTTTTTCATTGGGTGTTTTTATAAAGTGCTTGTTTAACCATTTTCAAAAAAGAGGTTTTTTTCTTTACCTTGTCTACTTTCACCATGTATTATGCAGAAGCGTGCTTTTCACATTGTTATATTCAACGTTTTCATAATTCATTCAACCGCATTCCATTTTGGCGTACCGTAGATCGGTAGCGTATGAAAGCACTAATCGTTTTACATGTTTGATGAAATACTTGCAAATCCGCATGTGCATCTACTGAGCTGGGTTCGATGAGATTCTTGCTCTCTCATGTGCAACTTTGCTGCATTTCACAAGATATTTTCAATTTCAGGCTTCATTTTCCACTCTCTGATATTGAACCGAAAAAATCTCTTGATCATTTTATAATTGCTAAATAATCGAAAAAGGAATCTGGTTGTTTTGTCATGATCATGTAAAGTCTGAAAATTTTGCATCTTGTTAATGTATATAGTGCTTAAAAATATTTTTGAGTGTTTAAAAAGTACTTAAGAGGTGCTGGTTTTTTGTTGAAAGATTTGGCATTTAGAATAGCAAGAATTATCGTTTTATTATGAATTCTATATATATTTTACAGGGAGTATTAGTGAAGCCATTATATTCTAAAGAAGATAGTAAAAATATTCCAGATGAATTACCTGGCTCCTTTCCATACACACGTGGCCCCTATCCCACCATGTACTCTCAAAGACCTTGGACTATACGACAGGTATTCACTTATTTTTACAATGATTCACTTCATTTAAATTTTAAAAAAATTTCCATACTTTATCAGTTAAATAAATAAAAAAATTTACTTTGCTATATTAAATTTACAATGTTGGAAAATAATAATTTGATTATTGCTAGTTAAAATAGTAAATGAATATTTTCAGTATGCTGGATTCAGTACTGTGGAAGAAAGTAATGCATTCTACAAAGAAAACATTAAAATGGGACAGCAAGGACTCTCAGTTGCATTTGATTTAGCAACTCATTGTGGATATGATTCGGACAACGAGAGAGTTCTTGGAGATGTGGGGATGGCCGGTGTTGCTGTCGACTCTGTGGAGGACATGAAAGCTTTGTTTGAAGGCATCCCTTTGGATAAGATTTCAGTCTCTATGACGATGAACGGAGCTGTTATTCCCGTTTTAGCCATGTTCATAGTAGCTGGAGAAGAGCAAGTGAGACACATCATATGTTAATTTGAATGTCATGTTTCTTTTAATAATGCAGTTTCTTAATGTACACAATTATAGTACATGGATGTCACTCTTCAGTCCTGGGGACTGAAATCAGTCTTGAGAAAAAATCAGTGAATTAATATCTCTTTCCCATTTGTTTTTTAAATTAAATTTCCTGAAAATTTAGCACCTGCTTGTTTAAGTGAAATTTGTATTACTGTTGTATCTAAATTTGCTTGAGTTTTAATTTTTCTCCAACGTTTTCAAATGCTTTCCAAAGTTAAATAAAGTTTTTTTTTTTTAAATTTATAGAGATAGGATAAATTAAAATAATGATGAACTGAAAAATAAGCAGAGATGAATAGATTCTCAACAAAAATAGTAGTTCATTATTCAGTGATTGGTACAAGGTTGGACTTATTTTTATCTTGTTTACTGTAAATAAAAAAATAAGTAATAATTTTGATAAAATAATAAATTCCTAGTTGATAATAATATATGAGAAAATGATTATGATATATGAGCCTTCATCATGCAAAGGTACATTTTGGAGCAAGTGAGCTATAAATTTTGGAAAGTTCTGGTAAACAGCTCTAGACCTTGTTAATTGGTCAAAAAATAAATTCAATCTCGAAATTTTTTTAGAGTGGCACCCATGTATTGTATGAGATAGATATAACACAATTTTGTAAACAACTATTCTCCCTAACTTCATTAACTTTGCAGATGTAAACAGTTCAATAAATCATGATTAAGACATTTCTATAACAAAGGAAGAACTATTAACTGTTCACAAGCTGCGAGAAAAACCATTTTCTTAAGAGGCTACAATCTATAAAACATACTAAAATTGATAAATTTGATTATATTTGGTTTTAATGCATTCGATAGTTATAATTTTCTTGTGTGAACAAAAAATTCCCAAGTGATTTTCCGTTTTAAAGTGTTTGTATTTAAAAATTATTTTAAAAAGTAGATAAGTTTAATGATGGGTGAAATGATCTATAAAACAGCAAATTCTATGTATCACAAAGCCTCACATTTTATGATTTTCAGTGTAGAGATTTTTCTACTGTAATATTAAGATTTTTATATTTGTTTTTATTATTATTTTTCAGCAAAATAATTGAAGTTATGATCTTTATAATGTCATATAAACACATAATTGAAATTATTTCTAAGCCATTTATCTTTTTTTTCTTTCTTTTTTTTTCTTTTCTTTTATATAACTATCAAAGAAATTAAATTAAAAAGATCCTGCTAACTGTCCATAATTTTTATTATATATTTGAACTATTTGAATAAATAAAAGGTGATTTATAGAAAAGTCTTATTGAAAGTGTAATTTATTTAGTGTGATTTGAATTGTATATTCTACTAATATGTTTGCCTTTTAAAACTGAATATGAAAACAAAACTATCTAAATTTATAGCATTCAAAAATATTAATTAAATAAAATATCTCCGAGTGATAAAAGTTTATTGAGAAACAAATGAAAAAGTATTACTCACAATCTAAGGAGTAGAATTACATCTAAAGTTTTGAAACTTTTGTAAATTTTCTCTTTTTACCAGTAAGAGAAAGTTATGCTTATTTTCTATCTAGCGTTTTTTAAGAGTTCCTGAATCTAACTAAATAAAGTTAGATTTAGGAACTCTTTAAAAAAAAAAAAAAAAACAATATTTTTTCTAACTCATTTTATTTTATTGTCTTTAGTCACCCTTTAGTAAATGCATTTATCAACTGTCAAGTTGTTTGAGTAATCCTTTCTTAATTTAGCATTTAACAGCTAGCATTAAACCTTTTTTTATAAAAATACATTTGCTCAGGTAATTTATAGTATGTGCTGTATATTTTAGGATGTTAAAAAAGCTCAACTTTCTGGTACTATACAAAATGATATCCTTAAAGAATTCATGGTGAGAAATACTTATATCTATCCACCTGATCATTCTATGCACATCATTGGAAACATATTTGAGTATATATCAAAAGTAAGTTTACTTATCAATTTAACTTTGTTGAAAAGAAAATAATTCTATTTTGTTATTTAAAAGTGTAGTTTAATTTTATTTGTGTAACTGACGTTTATTATAGTAACTTATCATTCAACTTAAAGCAGACTCTATTGTCTGAAGTCAGTATAAATGCAAAAAAAATAAAATAAAATAAAATAAACATAACATAATTATTAAATTATGTTATGTTATAAAGTAACTTTTAAATTCTTTAAGTTACTGATTAAATAATAAAAATAAACATGTGGTTTTATTTTATTTATATGTTGCCAATAAAGCTCAAAAACTGTTAATAAACCCATGATCTAGCTAATCTGCTTTCTAAAGTGCGGAATCAAATGTTTTCTGCATTTTACCTACGTTAATGTACAGATTAATAGTTTCCATTTCTTCAAAAAGTTTATTCAAAATGATACATATATTTATTCTGTGTATGATTTGTTATAATTGGTTGATGATTGATTTTATCAACTAATTTGTTAATTTTGTCAACTAATTTTGATTTTATCTAGTAATTTGTTGATTATATTAACTCAAATTTTTAGATATCAAAAAATAAGTTACTTATTATTAATTTAAGCCTATAAAAAGGTTGCTACTGTTTAAGCTAAAAATTTATTTTTACTTTAATATGCACCTTATTGGTAATACAGTCAAACCCCGCTATAGTGAACACGGCTTATAGTGAACTCCCGGATATAGTGAACGAAATGCTCGGTCCCGTTCCTTGCTATACACGTATAATGTTATTTTTAGTGGATATAGTGAACCAAAAAAGTGAAGAAGTTGGATATAATGAACTTTTTTCTGTTTTCGACTGATTCCCCCCCCCCATTTTCTAAGTAATAATTTTGAAATTTCTACTTCAAAATAAATACATATACCGATTCTCAAAACCATCTACAGAAACTACTTATTTTTGCTCAAATGGCAGGTTAGACAGGTTTAAAAAGCGGAATAACAGAAATTCAGGAAAAATTATGAGAGTCGGGAAGTGTTTCCATATCTGATGTTGAGGATTGCTCATCAGCTAATTATTATTTGTACACAAGACGAAGAGTGATGAAAGATAACACATTTTTTGCAACTACATAATATTTTTCAGTCATTTATATGAATATAATGTAATAAAAGGGAGGAGTTTGGGAACCATTAGTGAAATTGCCTGCGTAACGGATATAGTGAACTCCCGGTTATAGTGAACCTAAATTTCGGTCCCTTGAAGGTTCACTATAGCGGGGTTTGACTATATATAGATGAACAAGTGTTTAGTGAGTAAAAGTGGAAATCATTTAGGTGATTTTCCATTTACTTAGGTAATATGAGATTTGAAACAATTATGGCACTTATCAGATCACCCTAGTTAACCTGCCTATTACTTAAATATGTAGAATAACTGATTTATGCATTTCAGTTGTAATATAAACAAAATAGATAGTAATTGGGTGAAACCTTAGGACTATAAAACTTAAAAAAATTTACTCTCTTGTTTTTTAGAATATGCCAAAATTTAACTCTATCTCCATATCCGGATACCATATCCAAGAAGCTGGTGCCACTGCCACTCTTGAACTTGCATTTACCATTGCTGATGGTCTTGAATATTGTAGGACAGGTATATTGTTAATCTCTTGTTTTTATCTTTCCGCAATAGACTGATCATTGAGACTAGTTTGCATTTAAATTATTAGGAATTTTCTGTGTAAATGAATTTTGTAAGATATTAGTTATTCTGTTGCTTTTCTTTAAATTTATCTCGTTCTTTTACCTATAAGCACATTGATATATTGTTCTGTGAACTAGTCTGTTTTTAAGTTTGTACCGTAATTTCGTGGAGATAGGCCGCTGCGTTATTGATTTAAAACTTGAAAATTTAGTAGAAAGGTGTATCTATTGTACGTCTAAGATAGGTACTCTGACTGCCACTAAGTCTGTGGTAGTCTGGTTCTATGGAAACAAGAAGAGGGCATTTTAGGGAGGCTAGCTTCGATTAAGAGGTCTCCTTTTCTCTCGCCGAAACCAGTCCTAAAGAGGGACCCCGCACCCCTACTTGAAATAATCATACCTCGTTACCATAGTCATCGCCGCAGCTCCAGGCGAATGTCTGGCAGAGTACCTATCTTAGGCAAACAGTAACGGGGCGGCCTATATGGTATGACTTTTTTTTTCTTCGTTAAAATTTTTCTTTTTAGAAACCCCACTAGAAATTTCTTCATCATTCTTTCCACCTGTTATCATGCTTAATGTTAGTCCAAAGAGTGGTCAGCACACCTGGAAACACCTTTTTTCTTTAGCTGGTTGTTAAAAACATGTGAATGCTTGATGAATAAAGGGTGCTGATGAGCTTGGGATAACCTTGAATAATCTTACAATTAAAATGTTCAAGAAGAATTTCAAACTTTCAACTGAGGGTCAGTGAGGAGGGGAAAAAGCAATGTGTGAGAATTTTAGACAGGGATAAAAGAAAGACCGTCCTATGCCGAGTCAGTAAAAAAAAAGAAACCTGATTTGAGAAGCGAAAATAGGGGGAGGAAATTCTAAATATAGAAACTTGTTTTTTTTCATGTTTTTTTTTCATTGCCCTTATTTCTGTCTGATTTCGATCATCTTCCTCAGCTCATTATTATTATTTTTTTATCGTTTTATTTTGAATTCTGATGTGTTTTTGTTTTATTAATATTTTTCTTCCGTTAATATTTTTGTTTCGTTTTGACATAACTTGTATTTAAGTTATCCATTTTAAATGCCTCCCTTTAAGAGGAAAAATTATACCGCTGCGTTTAAGCTGTCAATAATTAAAAGAGAAAAAGAAACTGTGATAAATGGCTTCAAAAAGTGGAAATCATCCCGGAACAAAATGAAACCGAAAGTGAGGCTGAAAGTGTGAGTGACAGAGATGAACCAGAAATAAACAATGAACTAGTAAACCTAATTTGCTCTGATACAGAGAGTTTTGAGAAATTTTTAAGTGCAGTGATATGAATAGTGATAGGTGATATCTAAATAAATTATTCTTTAGTGTTTCTTCGAACAAAATTTTTTTGAATTATCGTTTATTTCTAAAACAGGATTTTGGATTGTTGATTTAAAAGTAAGATTGTTTTATTTTTAAAAATTTTCATACTTATTTTAATGGCTTTTGATATATTAATTACTTTATTTATATTTTAATGGTTACTTCACATTAAAATTAGAAAATGCTTAATTTTATTTATTTATTGAAATTGTAAGTTATTGAAATCTATTTTATATACTAGGATTGTTTCTATTGTTTTGTATGTTCAATATTCTTTTATTGGTTTTTATTTAACTATTTAAAATATATATATATATATATGCGTATTTAGAGCATGTCTTTAATCAATACCTGCATTAGTATAGTAAAATTCGGCGCGGCGTGTATGATGATGCCGCGTTTCTCCGCGAAATTATGGTACTTTTTTTTTATAAGTTTAGGTCTTAAATTATTTATTTATGTGTACACAAAGGTGATTTAAGAAGTATAGAATGTTTTGACTTCTGGCTTAACCCATTAAGCACCAAGTGTCCCATTTTAAGATTTTATTTTTTCTTAAATAATTAATATACATGCATTCAAATTGTTTCTAATGTAATTACTATTTTTTTTAAATTTATGTAAAGGCATCTTTATTTTCTTCATGAAAAAATAAATTAATAAAAATTAATTTATTTATTAATTGTTTGGGAGTTTATAAGAGTAATTTAAGTGAATTATAGTAGTTATATTTTTAGGTCATAACAGACATGAGACAAGAAAATTATTTTAAAGTGGTTTAAAAGTTTTTTAAAATTCTTTTTGTTAAAAATCAGGCGTATTTTCAAAACAAGTAGAAATATAAATGTTACTCATCGTATTTTCCATTGTTCCTCTCCTGCATTTTATTCAATTCTGAAGAACTTTAAAAAAAATTTTAAATTACTGTGTGAAAATTTCTTAGTTAATCTTCTAAGCTAAATTTTCAGTAAGTAAAAAAAAATTTTTACCTTTATTTTTAAGTAAATATGGGGCTCAAGTTTTTAACTGTTCAGCAAGCAGATGGTACGAAAACATTGAAACATAACTTTGATAAAAGAATCAGTCTGAAAAATCAGAAGAAGAAGTGGTCTTACTAAATTATTTCTACAATAAACAGATAAAACGTAAAACTGCAACTGCTCAGGAAAGAGATTTTTCAACCCAAATTAAATATAAATTTATTTTTTTTAGAAATGAGCTTTACTAGGGGATAAGCATTTAGGGGACTTTTCCAGATTATTTGGAAGAATCCCCATCCCCTTTTTTTTCACACCAACAATATTGTTTTTGACATGAATTTTAAGCATGCTGCAAAATTGTGAAAACAAAAAAAAGTTCATAAAAATTTTAATGTGAAATATTTTATTGATATTTTTTTAACTAGCATGCAGCCAGTATTAACAAGCATATAGTGTAAAAAATATTGTATAATAATCCGTTAGATAAAATATTCAATCAATAATTCTATAGGCATACTGTATATAGATAATATGTTATTTATGAAATTATCTGTGTTAAAAAAATGATTGTAATTTATAATTTTCCTTTGAAGTTCACGCCTCTTTTAAATTAAGCCCCTGAAAACTCAATAAAGGACTGAAATCGCCCTCTAAAAAAATTATTTTTATAACATTCATATGGACCAGGGGTTTCCAACTGGCGGCTCGGGGGCCGCATCCGTCCCGCGAAGCCTTTTTTGTGGCCTGCGAACTAAAATATATTAGCTGTAATTTTTTTGCGGACAATTTTCTTAAAAAATCTATTTGGGTTTAAAATACTTTTCTAGTTAATAGAAACCTAATTTCTTCGTTTCTGTGAAATTTAACATACCAACGGTGCAAAAAATTTTTTTTTCTCGGGTTTTGCATTCAAGAAAGTATTTATTCAAATACAAAAATAATCGTGTATGTTGCTCTTTTTTATTTCATTTTTTTGTATTTGTGTGTCAGAAATTTTCTCGAAGAAATTCTCTGATTTAACTTTTTGAAACGACTCATTTTGGACGAAAATATTAACACACACATTTGTAAATTTCAAATGTAAATATCTATTCTCTTTTGGTTGCAGAAGACAAACCTCAATTTTCTTATTGAACATTTTGTGTGGTACTATGCAAGTTTTAATACCAATTTTTTTAAAGTTTTATATCTTAACAATTTGATATCTGTTGCACATTAATAGTTTAATACATAGGTGCACATTAAAGTTATTGTAGCCCGAATATTTATTATTTATTTAATATTTACTTTTGTTTGTACAACTTGGTAAAAATCCGACAGTAATATTTAATGTTCCTTCAAACATAAAGGAGTCCTACATATAATTTTGATAAAGTTGCAGCCCGCCATTTGATTTGGGTTTTCAGTTGTAGCCCCCGGCCTCATGTAAGTTGGAAACCCCTGATATAGAGTGTAGTCTCTTTTTCTTATGATGAGTTAAACTTATAACGTATTTTTCCTGAGCTAATAACATTAAGTAACTTAAAGAGATTGCAAATAATAAAAAAATAAAAAAATATAAATTCGTTATACTGAATTTTACGGATATATGTCTTTTGATTTTGTGCCAAATAACATTGTGTTAATGGGGATGTTTGTTGTTTAAGAACCATTTTTATTTGAAAACATTGTCTTCCTTTGAATAAATGGAAGATTTTTACCCTTGTTCAAAGCAGTTAAATACATAATACTTGAATGCATCATTTGAATACATAATTTCATTGCAGGATTGAAAGCTGGCTTAACTATTGATGAATTTGCTCCTCGTCTTTCTTTCTTTTGGGGCATAGGCATGAATTTTTATATGGTATGTTAAATATTCTTTTACTTTTATAACTGTATAAACATAGTTATAATATAATTATGAACTATTTTTGCAGGGAAGAAAACTTTTGTCTAATAATGACACTAATTTAAGCAAATTTAGAAAAAGGCAAAATAAGAAAATAACATTGAAAATAATAAATCAAAGTGGTAAAGTGCTAAAAGCAGCTAAAACTAAATTTGTCTTATTTTAATAATTTAGAAAGTTAGAAACACAAATCAAGCAAAAAACAAAGAATTTCTTAAGATATGTTTGTTAGCAAAACATCACTTCATCAGGGGACACACTGTCTGCCAACGCACTGGATCCTATCTCTTGTTAGTGGTAATACCAAAAACTGACTGTGCTCCGAGATTCATAATGAATAAACTTAATAAGAAAAAGCAATTACAATCAAAAATTGAAATGTAAAAGCAAAAAAAGTTAATGATACACAAACAGAAATCAAAAGTACACAGAGTAAGAAGTTCAATGTTTTAAGTTTAATGTTATTAATTTAGAACATTTTAATTCCAAATTGTACTTTAAAATTTTTAAGAATATTTTAATTAAACAAATTATTAAGTTTAAATTTATTTGTAATAATAAAACAGATTTTCTTCCAACTATTCTGAATTTCAAAATTACATTAAAGAATAATAATTTTCCTTTTAATTACTGTAATTTAATTTAAAGTATTTTAAAGACGTTCAGCTAATTTGACCGATATTGAATCCCACATAAATAGGCCTATACGGTGAAACTTGGGATTTTTTGTTCCTAAAGAATATAGAATGCTGCACTTTATTGGAATTTTTAATCATTGAATGTTTTTCCTCTATTTTTCAAGATGTTAGAATGGGCGCTTGAAATATTTTTATAGAATTTTTTTTTAAAGATTTGGCAATTTAAATTTTATTTTGATTTGTTTATTCTAACAGTAACTTTATCTTTATTTGTTTTTCTTATATATGGGCATTTCATTATTTGTTCTTAGCTGTGTACTTTTGACTTGTGTTTGTGTATCATTAATTTTTCTTTGCATTTACATTTCGATTTTTGAATTTTTAATTGCTTTTTCTTATTTAGTTTATCCATTATGAGGCCTCAGGGCACAGTCAGTTTTTGGTATTACCACTGACGACTCCTGTGTGTTGGCAGGACTGATGAAGTGCTTTGCTAATGTACATATCTTTAGAAATTCTTTTTTGCTTGATTTGTGATTCTAACTTTCTAAATTATTAAGAAAATTTTTGTTAATTATTTTTTTATTATGTAATTTTGATTTAATTAGAGGTGAAAATAATATAGTGCATATAAGAATAACTAGATAACTTTTATTTACTGGATGCTAGAGATACCCACTGTGCAGATGCAAAGTATGTGCCCAGAGCCAGCATTTTGATTAGATGAACTAAAAATCGGGAGTGTAATCACTGAAAGGGAAAGACATTTCATTTAAAAAAAAGTAGAAAAAATATAAAGCTTTCAAAATTCTGATCCTATATTTTAAGTATACTTAAGTGGAAATTGTAAAAATTTATTATTTCCAATAAAATTAATAATTTTTTTTTAAACAATCAATATTTAAATTTTATTGGTGGTACAGTAAAAGCTCGACTACCAGGAATTGATTGTAATTCCTGTTATGCCAAAATTCCTGACTTGAGCATCAAAAATCTAAGTTTTTAATGTTAATTATCTACTATAATTGTAGATTAATAATGATAAAGGAGTAAAAAATTATAATGCTTGATCTAATAAATTATTAAAGATAAATAAAATAAAAAAAGCTAGAAAGAAACTGAGGGTCAGTGTTGTTTCTGAACTAAATGCTTCTTTATAATTGATTGAGATGAGAGAGGGGAGCATTTATCTAGAATTGATTATTTAATTTCATATTTCAAGCAATCCCGTTCATCTTACGAAAAAAATTATAAATTTCTGAAAATTCCTGGTAAGTCGAATTCTGGACAGCCAATCTTTTACTGTATTTCTCTTTCTTTATCCACCCTAAAACTTCCAATTAAATTTATTTTAAAATCATATTTTCCTTAAAATATTTTCCTTGAGCCAAATATTTACCTGCTTTAAAATTTAATTTCATAATAATATTAATAGATTTAAAAATTCAGTGTCCTATGTCGTTGATTAGATTCCTTCTTCTCTGCTCATCATTCTATTGCAATTATTTCTCTTGAAAATTCAACTTTTACACGGTTAAATTTTCTTAGATTTATCAAAATTAAAATATATATTTGTATTATTTCCATATCAATGCTAACAACTAATATAAAAATGACGTATGCTCCATTCTGCTGGTTGTGACAAGTGACATGGGTCTTAGTTCTCTCCTGATCCATTGATATGGTTCTCCCTGGTAAAATTAGGAAAATGATTTTTGGTACTCCATATTTCGAATCCATCTCTCTCTTTTTTTAATAGCATAATTTTGGCTTAATGGCTTCTGATTTGATATTGTGGTGTAATCAATGTACTAGGTTCAAGTACCAAAGTTAGTGACCTGGCGAACCTGCAAATCTCTGTGTATATTCAATGTATTCTCTATAATTCTCTGTAATAATGTATTCTCTTCCTAAAGTATAACAAACTGAACTGAATTTTAAGGGAATGAAATGCATATATACCATCGTTGTTCTTTCACTCTTTGCGCTTTACCTTACATCTGTTCTTATGTTCTATGTCATTGATTATAACCCTAGATGCTTTTAATTTAGTTGTTAAAATGTTATTAAAGTTATGTTTAAATTTCGCATTCCTCCTTTACTATCTTTGACGATTGATCTATTTAAAATGCAGGATTTAATACACGCAGCCTATCTCTTCAAGATATTATAGTTTAAATTATAAAAACTATTAAATCAAATTTAATTTTAAATAGCTAAAATTATGCTTTTTGAGTATTCAAACTGAAATATATTTTTATTTAAAAAAAATCTAATAACGTTGCTTATATAGGAAATTGCAAAGATGAGGGCTGCCCGTCGCCTGTGGGCTCATTTAATAAAGGAGAAGTTTTCACCCAAAGACAAAAAGTCACTTATGCTAAGAACACATTGTCAGACTTCAGGTTGGTCTCTTACTGAACAAGTGAGTGAATTAATTTCTAATTTTGTACTTGCATATATCTAAACTGCAACCCTTTGAGTCACCTATTTGACTCAAACGCTGTATTTTGTTTTTCCAGGATCCTTACAACAACATTATTCGCACAACTGTTGAGGCTATGGCAGCAGTATTTGGTGGAACACAGTCTCTTCATACAAATGCTTTTGATGAAGCCTTAGCTCTTCCTACAAAATTTAGTGCTAGAATTGCTCGAAATACTCAAATCATCTTGCAAGAAGAAACTGGAATACCTCATGTGAACATTTTTCTTTCTTTCTTACAGTTTCATTACTCTTCAATTAGGGCATACTTAAATTACCTAGTTGTTCAGATAACGCTGGATTCAAAATTTCTTTCCACCTCCCCCCTCCCCTAAAAAAATAGATAATAAACTAAATTTAGTTAATAGTTTTTTAATACAAATACTTTAAAGGAAAGATATTGCAATTTAAGAAAATGAATTTTATAACCTGTCTCCGTCAAAGAGAGAACAAGTAACCTATCAGATATAAAGTTAATGTCTCAATTTTTGAACCACACATTCACATCTCTTTATAATTTTTTTTCCTTAAAAATAAATGGTCTTAAATTTGGGAGGGGTTGTATCTTGTAGTTTTGCAAAAAAAAAAAAANAAAAAAAAAAAAAAAAAAAAAAAAAAAAAAAAAAAAAAAAATTCTCAATATGTTTTAATTATGTTCTTAAATTTTAACTTGAGTTTATTTTTATTGGAATTTTGTAGATTTGTATTTCCTTTGTTTGTACTTTCATTCATATCAATGAAATTTAAAAGATAATTAATTTTATAATTTTTAAATAAAATGACCCTCTAGAACTCTAAGGTTTTAAAAAATTTCCCTTAGAACTTCTTTTCACTAAGTTCTTTGTTTATTAACTTTTTGCTTATTGTTTATTTTTTCTGTTTTACATCTGACAGTATACAATTATCATATACATTTTTTTAGTACAATGTCTTTTATAAATATTTTTGGAAAGTAAATTTTATATAAGAAAAGCATTTGACTTTACATAATTCTTAATTGAATAAACGAGCATATGTATTATAAAATAATAGAAATGAAAATATATAGAAATAATAGTTTTATCAAATTAAATAGAGGGTCCCACTTATAAACTTAAGGAATTGAAACTAATAAATACACAAATTAACATATGTTTTTTTAACAAGAAAAAGTTTTGCAAAGCAATACATTTTTCAAAAAAAAAGTTTTGTAGGAATTTTTTTAGATCAAAAATTTTCCAATGGCTGCTTGAATTTTCTCTAGAACCTCATTTTACGGGGTCAGACATATTCTGCTTCCCTAACTATAATTAACAGCAAATATTGAGAATTATTAAAAAAAAAAATTCGAGTTGATCTAACAAATCAGTTGAGATCAAACCATTATTGACGAATACTTAAATTTTACTTAATCTAAAAAATATGCCTAAATTGTATCATAAAAGAATTAAAATCAATATTAAGATTGATAATAGTTAAGAACTCATAGTTGTTACCAGTAATATAAACTGAATAGTTATAATAAGGGTTTTAAAGTATTAAAATACCATTAGAAAAATCAATTAATAGTTTTATTAATTTTGGCTGAATTTTTTATATGAGTTACATACTATGAATCATAATTATTGTAGTATATAATGCAAGTATTATGCACGATTTAGTACCTAATAAAATGTCTCCAATGTCAAAAAAGAAACTTGTCCCAGATTTTTGACAATTTTTAATGGATTTCGACAAATTTTGACAGGTTTTTGATGTCAAAAACTCAATTCTGAACGCAATTCCTATTTATCATGGCAAAATTGAACTACTTTAGATGTATTAGAAATGACGACATCCGAGCATTTACTGGAAGCTAGCTAATTTTTTTTCTTCAAAAGCAATACGCCATAATCCACTTTGGTTCTGATGTATGATCTAAGCACTTTTTATCAATACAGAATCAAGAAGTTTCAACCGAAAGACAGAAAGAATGTTCTTTCAAATTTGTTGTACAGTTTGTTGTATTTGTTGTTGATCTAATGATTGAGTTTTCATTCTTAAGGTATTGACTCAATCTTAAGGGTTCAAGGGCCTTACCATATATATGCTAATTAGTTGGTGCAGAATATATTAAAGTTACTAAATCAGAAAAGAAACATACTTATTGTTTTGAGAGATTCGAATTTTAGATTTTCAAATATTTGGATGTCAGCCGCAATCTAGAGAATTTGGTCCTAATAGTTTGATCGGGAGAGTGGTCGTTAAGTTGCGACTCCTTAATGTTAATTTTACTTTTTACATATTTCTCTGTATCTTAAGAACTTTTTAAGTGAATCAAAAAGTTTTTACACTTAATTATAAAATTTGTTTATATGATTTCAATTACTTGCAATAAAAAATTTTTAATAATTATTTTATTATTCTTTATTATTTTATTCAATAATAATTGAAAAAGTTTTAAATTGCATGGCATGCAAATTTCTTTTTAAAGAATGTGACTTTAAATGAAGAAATACAAAATTTCGACACAATTGGCCAAATATTTTCTGAGTTATCAAGTTTTAAAAGAGCTATATATTTTTGAAGTTCCTGTTCTTATTATACAACTCTTTTACTACAGGTCATTGACCCTTGGGGTGGCTCCTACATGATGGAATCTCTTACAAACGAGTTGTATGAAGAAGCCTTGAAAGTTATTAAAGAAGTAAGATACTAGCGATTTGAGTGAAAGAGATTATGAAGAACATTTTTGAATGGCGTTAATTTTATTCTTTAGGTAGAAGAAATGGGTGGAATGGCTAAAGCTGTGGTCAGCGGTATGCCCAAACTTAGAATAGAAGAGTGCGCTGCTAAAAGACAAGCTTGCATAGACAGTGGAAAAGGTAATATTTAACACTTTGATCAGAAGATATTTATCGATACCTTACCTAAGCTCATACAGGAGTGATTGCATTCTGGGCGTACCCAGGAATTCCGTTTTTTCTTTTTCTTCTTTTATAGAAGCAGGTCATGTGAGTTTTCAGTGAATGTCAAATTCTGCCTATCTCAAGATTATTGGTTCGCAGGCTTCCTCAATTCAAAACTTTATAATTCAACGAAATGTTAAAACTTTTGTTAAATTCCATTTACTAAATGCATGCATCTGATTCTTCCGACAATCTGATTATTTTAGTTGAGTGGATTTTTACCATTTTGAATATTTGAAACTGCGTCGGTAACTTTTATTGTGATTTTAATATTAAACATTAATTTTCGTATTTACCTGATTTAAAAGTTACTCACTGCAATTTGTATTTACACGACTTAAAAATCATGCACTGTGCTTCCTATTCAGGTGATTTAAAAACCCAATATCAGGATTCGTATTCACATGAGTTTAAAATCCAATATTGTATTTCATATTCATGGGTTTTTATTTTATTTCATAACCTTGTTGAACAGTTGGCCCAATTTTGGGTTTACGACTACTAATGTTCAACTCCATAGCCTTGTAATTTTGAACCAATCCAGAATACAAGGAAACTCCTGGATCAGTATCCCCAGAGGTATGATTTGTTATGGGAACATGGAAGATTTAGTGACTCAACAGATTTAACGTGCACCAGTCACGATTTACTGCACAGGGAGTCTTCGGCCAGCGAGGATAGAACCGACGACCTCTTAGACATGGGCCCAGTGTCCTACCTTCCAAGCTATATCAAACATCGATTTTCGTATATATACATGATTTAAAAAACTGCATATTGCAATTCGTATTTCTGCGATCGAAAAAGTATGCATAGGGATTCATATTTACGCAATTTAACAGTTCAATATCGCAATTTGCATTTCTGCGTTTTTAAAATCTAAATCGCACTTCCTGTAAGAAGTAAGTATTTTCATGGATTAGTTCGTATAAAGGTGTGATAATCTTCTTGAGGTAATTTAAATATAAATGTTAGTTCAAAAAATTATGTTAAATTTGAAACATGTATGGTATTTAAATTGATATTTTGATATCGTTTTGTCGCACATAGCATTGTCAGGGTTTTGCACTTTGTGGCATAATCACAACTGTTCATGGAAAAAGTACTAAATTAAACACAGTGCACCCTCAGAATACTTATTTATTTTAAAAATTTTTTTCATTGTGCTATTGTGTGAAGTTTCTACACTGAGAGCTTATAGAGAAGAAATAAACAGATTCCATTTTATCCTGTTCTAGGAATGAACAGAATTGTGCGATTCCTTGTCAGAGGAACAATCAGAATTTTTTTGATTTTGTGCAGTTTTTTTTAATTATTATATAACAATTGAATTAACATTGTACTAAGATATTTCAAGCATAAATACATATTTTGAGAAATTTTTTGTATTAATTAATCAGGGACAAAACTAGGGAATTGCATGTCATCTTATTTCAGAAATTAGCTGGAATGAATTTTATATTATTCTTTTGCAAAACAGGATTGCATTTTACCTAACTTTAAAGCCTTAATTATTCTTAAAAAAAAGAAAGTTTGTCTTGATTTTTTTTCTGTTTATGCCTATAAATGGGTAGAATAGTTATAAGCGCCTATATTAAAAAAATTAATTGTTAACATATTAATAGATGAATAAATAAATTAAGAATGTATCCAATTTATTGACCTATAGTAACACTTTTTATTTATTTCTTCTGCCTTGAAACTACGAGAAAGTAGCTAAATATTAAAAAAATAATGAAATACTTGTATTTTAGTATTTTCCTTTTTTCTAACAAAATAGTTTGGAAAATTAACTTATTTATTAAGAATATTACTTTAATAAATTATTAAATAAGAGTAATGGAAATTGGCTTAGTATTTTATTAAAATTTAAATAATTGTTTCTTAATATAAGGTATACTTCCAATTGTATTTCTGTGAAGTTGGAAATTGTAAAAAAAAATAAAACTGCCTGCTGCTAAAGCCATATCTATTTTTATCCGTTTCTGTTTTACAATTTTATTTCATTATATCTTTTTTATTCATGAAGAACTGTAATTTATATGTAATGAAATAATTTTAAAAATTTGTAACAATGAACATTTTCTTGGCTACTGAGCATTTTAACAATTTATTATATCTGAAAAATGATTATCATAATAATAGTACTTGTATACATTTAACATGTTTAGAATTGTGTTTAACTATTTATATATTTTGTTTAAGCTGCAACGAAAAAAAAAGGCCTCTCTATGTTAGCTTTTCTGGAATTAAGACAGGTGGGAACCTTGAAATTATTCAAAGTCCCAAAATATAAATAGAGACAGCGGAACCGGAGGACAGAAAGGGCATAATTAGCCCCCTCAAATTTTATGGATTATGAGATGCAGTCCCTTCTAAGATAAAATTTTTTTCCCAATATTTGAGTAATGAAATTTAAAATTAAAAGAATATATAATTTTATTGTGTCTAAATTTAAAAAATTAATAAATAAACATCTCTATTTCGAGCGAGCTTTACCATTTCCTTGGTGAAAACTGCCACCAAATCATCCCCCGCTGTTCTCCATAAAGGAAATATAAATCCCTATTACTGATCAGTGGGAAGACTCTTGATTTTAAATGTTACAGCTAACACAATATTAAAAAAAGCGAATGAATAATTTACATGTAAACAATTAATTTTTTTAAAATTTTATTTTAAGCTTAAAACAATTTGAATTTTGAAGTTAAAATTACCAAATTCAAATTTTTGATTGCCATTATGCAAGGTTTAGATAATTTGGACACTGTTAATACTAATATATATACAGGGTGTATAGCGTTTCTAAAAAGTGCTTAATTTTCCCTTTTTCAACATGAGATTTTAACATGTTAATTTTCGCTACGAATTATGCAAAAAGACACATTGTTCTCTTCAACGTTTTCATACTTAATTCAACCCCAATCTATTGCAGTGTATTGTCAGTCTGTAGCGTATGAAAACGCCATTTGTTTTACATGATTCAAAATTTCATGATTTTTGATAATTGTAAAAACAATGCCAAAAGTTTTTTTAATTTTTTTTTTTGACATGAAGGTTTAAACAAAATAAAACTGTCAATTGTCAAAAACTTTCCTACACTGCCTAATTATGATATTTTTTACAGTGCTTAAAAATATTTTTTGAGTGCTTGAAAAGTGCTTAAAAGGTGCTTATTTTTTGTGGAATAATTTGGCTACGCACCCTGATATATATCTATACGGGACGGAAGAGAGCCCTCCCACTCATGAGATGCTTCCGTGGTCAATGAATATATAAGTGTATTTTCAAAGATATCCTGAATGTTTACTATTTATTGAGAGACATTCTGAAATTGTCTCTTTTGTAAGATAGTTTCTGCAATTATTTATGTTGTTAAATGCTAAACATAAGTTGCTTACTTGCTCTCGGTTACGTTAGACCCATTTAAAATATCTAATGGGTGTAACATGGCAGAAATTAAAGTGAGTTTGGTTCACAAAGTGAATCATTTTGCAGTATTTGGCAAGATTAGTAAATAGGAGACAAACTAGTATCAGAAACTTTTTATATGTTCTCTTTTATTCAAAATTCTACCCAGTTTATTTGAAATTTTTCATAATTCTTTCTTGAGAGAGTTAGTTGTTGTGGTATTTGAAAATGGAAGAAAAGAACATAAAAAAGTTATTTTTATTTTATCATTTTGTATTAGACATTAAAACTTTAAAATTAATATGCATGTAAAAAATTAAATATTTAAAACTGATATTGTTTTATGTAGAAGTGATTGTGGGTGTGAACAAATATCAGAAGGATAAGGAAGATCCCATCGAAGTTTTAGTTATTGATAATACAAAAGTGTGCAAATTGCAGATTGAAAAACTGAAAAAAATTAGATCAACTAGGGATGAGATGCGAGTAAGTCTAATGAAATCTCATGAATTGTACTGTTTTATACTTCGTTTTTGTTTTAAATTTCATTAATATTTCAACACCAAATTTATATTCATAAATCAGGCATAATTATACAAAAAAATCTACCCCAAAAATGAATAATTTTGTTGTAAAAGTACAGAAGTTCATCACCTTAAACCAGTGTTTCCCAAAGTGTAGTACGCGTACCCCCAGGGGTATGGGAACAGTTTAGCGGCGGTACGCATTCCTGTGCGAAATATCTTGCAACAAACGAAAATTTCAAGACATTTTATTTTAAAACAAAGCTAGCCATGAAAATTTACGATTATGTATTTTTCTATTGGCTATTTTTTTGCAGAATTAACAATTAATAATTAGTGGTGTCAACAGCCAGTTGTGATTTTTAACTTTTTTGCAATTTTTTATAGTGAAAAGTACATTCATTTTTTTATTAGTGATACACAGTGTTACGAAAAATTTAGAAAGGGTATACAAAAGTAATAAGTTTGGGAAACAATGCCTTAAACGATGAGAATATGTTTGAGTAATTTTTGTAAACAATTTTAGTTAATCTTATTTTTTATTAATCTTTTTTAATAATTTTTTAAAAATTTTAACAAAATATGTAATAATTCTAGTTTGATAATCTGTTTTCCATAATATTTTAGAAATTATTGTATTTTTAAAATTTTATTATGCCTGGAAAAAATTTTGTGAAAATTATAACTTTTTGATTGACAATTGTCATTTAAAAGTTAATAATGTAGTGCACATATGAATGGCTATGGTAAGAATGGCAAATAATTTTGAGCCTGCTCAGGTGACATGCACAGCACCTGAGGTGGTGCCCTTCTCTCTCCGAACTTCCTCACTAAAACATATCATGCTAGTTGTTTTGTCGGCCACCAGGATTGAACTCACTTCTCCCAGAGCTATCCCACCAGTGGTTCAGATGATTGACAAGCAAAAAATTCTTTCAAAACCTCAGAATTGTCATTATTGGCTGCTTAACTTAGTGTGAAGACTGTAATTTTATTCTGTGCTGCTATGTTAAACTAAAAATGACAGTGCATCATAATTTAAACATGCTTAACTCAGTCTTCCAATTGTTAAAGAATGTATGTCATTTGATAATGGTTCTCCAAAGCATTAACTTTCTTTGAGATTGCTAGTTCGTTCCACATTTTTTTTAATATTTATTCTTATTTTTATTTTTTTTTTGCAAGCATTTCACTGCCACAAATTATTTTCCTCACAATTCTTTGCAAGCTTGTGCTGCTTTGATATTTTCCGACATCTGAGGTTGAGAATATTGTGCATGATATTTACTTGTATAATTTCCCATGGTAATTTGTGTAAATTTGTGTAAAAAAATAATGCACAAAATTCTAAAAATGTGAGCATTTTAAGAAAAATAATTGCTACCTAAGTTTAGTTGTTATGAAATCATAAAAATAGGAAAACGGTTGATAAAATTTTCATTCCTGTTGTTGATTGTCTATTAAATGATGTTTTTGTTACATTTACACTGATTATAAATTACATGATTAGGTATGTGTGATGATGGCATTAGATTTTATTATAGAGTTTAAATGTATTATGCTGCCTATCTTCATATTTTGGTTCTGTATTATAGGAATTGATAAAAATTGTATCTGTAACAAAAAATAGTATAAAATTGCATCTCCCAATTTACCAATTCGACAAAAGTTAATCTATCAATATTGATGATAAATGAAATAATACTAACTCTGTCTTAACTAATGTGTTATGTTTACATTTTATGAAATATCTGACATTGAATATCAATTTATGTATTATAAAAAATTTAAAAATTAGCAATAACTTTTATTGTAAATAATCAGCTATGTATATGTTATGATGTAATTATTTGTGGAAATAATAAAAGATTATATAAAAATTATAATAAAAGATAAAATATACCTAATAATAAAAAGAACAAAAAATTATGGAATCATAAAACATCCTACAATAATAGGATCAGACCTTGCTTCTTTGATGTTACTTAGCCAAGACTTTGATGTTACAGAGCTACTAAACCTACAAAATTCATCCCTTAGTGCTAGCAAAATCTCTATTAATGCAGCTGTTTTCATTATATATTTTTTTTGGAATATTAAATATACAGGAACTCCCCTGAATTATATGAATTTGAAATTATAGTACCCAATTTATAAGATGTATATACAGTACAGAACCCGTTATCTTGAATTCAGAAAACCGGAAAACCAAAAAACCGGAACGAAATTCAATAAATTTTCCAGCCATTTTTAAAAAAAAAAAATTTTTTTTTCCTCATAAAATTTTAAGATTTTTCTTTCTTTTTTGAAAGATGTTTACCTTACAATCATTTTGGAAATAATCATTAGTGTATTACTTCATCGTTTTTTCTTCTTTTTAAGATAATTACCAAATATTTTTTTTAGTTGGGTTTAACAATAAAAAAAACGGCTTTTTGCAGTGATTCAGAAAACCGGAAAAATCAGTTATCCGGAATAGCGATGGTCCCGATCGTTCCGGATAATCGGTTCCCTACTGTACTATATTCTTATTTGAATTCTTGCTATCTTTTCTGAGTAATTTTTTCTGTTTTTTCTAATTTTAGTATAAAATATGTTTCAGTAATTAAATATGTATGTTCCAGTGTCAAAATGCATTAGCTGCCATTACGAAATGTGCCGAAACTGGTGAAGGTAATTTACTTGAACTTGCAGTTGAAGCAGCAAGTGCTCGAGCTACAGTTGGAGAGATTACTCAGGCAATGGAAAAGGTAGAATTTTTCTCTTATTTAGATTCTTTAGTTTTAAGTCTTTCTCTAATTTGCTATTTTCCTCTTTTCTATTAATTTTTCAATTATTTTCTGACTTTTATTTACCATATTCCTGAGTAAATAAAAATATAACTATTCAGCCAAAAATTTTATATCGTATGCACTTTTCATAATGTATTAAGAAAAATCATATGAAGCTAGTCTGTGGATTGATAAAGATTGATGTTAAGTGCAGNTAAAAATAGTTTTTTTTTTGGGGGGGGGGGGGTCTTTCAATTACAGGGTTGCCACTCCACTGGGAGAATAGAGAAAACAGGAAATCACCTAAAGTTACAAGGAATTTTGTTTCTTATTTTTGTCTTTAAAAAATGGTGACCATTCAAAGCATATTCTGTGGGATATATAAGGAGGATATTTCATCTATACTAAACTATTTCATTTACTATGCAGGGTTCCCAAGGGTCAGAGAGAACAGGGAACACCTGGAATTATCAGGGAATTTAATTTTAACTCCAAAAATCAGGGAAAGTTGCAATTTTTTTACAAAAACCTGAAATATTCCCATATCATACCTAGAAAAAAACTAGTCTTAAAATTATCAATTATTGAGATTCGAGTTAAATAGTTCTAATATCTATTGCAATTATTTGTTGTAAAAAAAGTTGTATTTTAGTCAAACTGAAAAATATATATATCTATATCTGTGGCCTGTGTGAGGGCAAGGGAACTGCCCTTGCATCAGAAAGGTTCTGGGTTCGAATCCCGGGCAAGGCATGGATGTTCTTTCCTTCACTGTACTATCTGTCCTTACTGTGGGAGCAACGTTGGCTGACCTAATGTGGTGCCCTTGAATGAGTGGCCAACAAATCTGCCCTTCAGATGACGCTATTCCCCAGGCGGGCATTGAAAAAAAAATTTTTTTTTACTCCAAAAATCTAATATTTTACATTACAAATAAAAGAATAAAAGTTTTTTGATGAAAATATGGTCTCAATTTTCATTGAAATTGACCTATTTAACCTAGAAAAATCAGGGATTTTTTTCTTCTGAAATTGAGTGGAAACCCCGACTATGGCATTATTTAAGTATGTTCAGCTGTTTCTTTTTTTTCTCAAAGTTTTTCTAGCTATTAAAACTAATAAATATAGTTGGCCCAATATAACTCGCATAGGAGCACAATAGTTGTTGTGTGTACTCTTACTATATTGTGTATTATATGTACAGGGAAAACACAGGGAGTTTTTTTTTCCTTCCAGATTTGAGTGGTAATCCTGACTCACTAATTTTAGTAAAGTTATAAGTTTAATCACTTAAACTGGGGGTTTTATTATTTAATTTGCTATCTTTCATCTTTATAATTATAGTTTTATTTGTATGTAGCAGTATTATTTATTCAATTAAAACTGTTACAACCTTTGTATTATTTTTGGAGGATTTGAATATTTTTTAACCTATCTGTTATATAATAAATGAATTGCCATTGAAAAATTAAAAAAACTTGCTAAAAATTGTTCTGTATCCTATTTGACATTTTCCACCCTGTGAAGACTGTTAATTTGCTACCGACAAAATATATATTTTCTCTTTTTTTGCAATTTCATTCCTTAAGTAATTCCATTAAGTGGACTATCTCTACACTATTATAGATATTTGGAAGGCATGTGGCTGCTGATAGATTAGTTTCTGGTGCTTATAAATCAGAGTATGGAGATCTAAACGAATTAGAGGATGTCAGAAAAAGAGTGGAAGTAAATTTCCATATTTTATTTATTTTATTTTAGTTAGTCAAATTCAATAAACAAAATTATTTTTTATTAAAAAAGTAGTCCTTATAGTCTTTAAACAAATATGTTAATACAATATTTAACAATATGTTAATACAATACAATATGTAACAAATATGTTGATGCAATACAATATTTAACAGAAGGCTAAAAATAATACTAAAATTTTAAGAAATAATTGAATTACTTAATTAAAATCTGTGTCTGTGGGGTAAAATGTGATCTGTAAAATAATTAGATTTTATCTTTGAACAAAAATTTTACGGGTACCTTTCTTTTTCCTTTACAAATTTCAGAAAATATGTGTTGATAAATTTGGAATTCTAATTTAATAAACTTTCTATTCTGATATGAATTAACAATAATTCCGATATTAATTAACAATTTTGATATTATTTAATGTATAAAATAAAACCCTGTGTTTGTATGATAAATTGTAATCTGAAAATAGCTGGAATATAATTCTCAATTTACTACCTTTCTGTTTCGTTTACAAATTTCAGAAAATATGTATTGATAAATTTAGAATTCTAATTTAATAAACTTTCTATTCTGATATTAATTAACAAATTATCATTGTTTTGTGTGACAATGTATATAATTCAAGAGTTAAATCTTTAAATAAAGACTTGTGTTTGTAGGATAAATTGTAATCTGAAAATGGCTAGAATAAAATTCTCAATTTACCACTTTTCTGTTCATTTACAAATGTGAGAGAATGTGTATTAATAAATTCAGAGTTCCAAATATAGAATTTGCTTTTCTGATATTAATTTACGTTTTATCTTTGTCCGAGTTTGTTATTGATATTCAAAAATAATTTTTTAAAGCAATTCTTAGAAGTGGAAGGAAGGAGACCCCGTGTTTTGGTTGCAAAAATGGGCCAAGATGGCCATGATCGTGGAGCTAAAGTAATAGCTACAGGATTCGCTGATTTAGGTTTTGATATTGATATAGGACCTTTATTTAGAGTAAGTAAATATCTGTTCTTTAGATACTATCATTGTAATGCATTGGATTCCCAGTGGATCCGTACACCTATAATTGTCGGAATTTGTTTTAGAGGAAAAAAGCATGTAATGATGTAATACTTGGAAGAAAGAGCTTTGAAATATATTGCAACCAACCTCAAAAATAACCTAGCTCTATATAACCATAAGTAGCCAACTATGTTCAAAATAAATAAGTTTAATGTCTTTTTTTAAATCATTTTTTGTTAAATGCTGCCAGGTTTTTACATACATTTTTGTTATATTTATAAAAGTTTGAATATTGATGAGGAAAAACTACCTTGTTTAAAACTTAGCTCTAAATTTCTTTAATATTATATTTGCAGTTTAATGATGCTATGTTTTGTTTTGTTAAATTAAACTTCCTCTTTAAATTAAACTTAATAACAAGCAGGGTTTGTTGATTTAAATCACGATTTAATTCAACTGATATTTATATATATGTATATATTGATTTAAAGAGTGAAAAAGCAGTGTTTTAAATTATTGATACTTTTATTATTTCTGTTGTTAGTTTTAGAATTTATTATTGCTGCATTAATTAATTTTAGTTAACGAAATTACTTTCTTTCTTGGTATCTGTTAAATTCCAACACATTTGAAATTACATTTTTTAAAATCTTTTGATTCTTGAGCTTGAAAGTATAGATTAAAGTAAGCTATAAGTATTTTTTTCTCATAATATGTTTACAGTATCTTTGACATTATTAGATTTTGCATAAAGAAATTTTGTAAAAATTTTTTCTATTGAGTACATAGATTTTTAAATTTTTTTTTTAGCTTAACTTATTTATTTTGATATAGGATTAAAAACAAATATTTTAATATAAAAATATATAGATTGAATATTTATTTATTTTTTGATGAATGACTATGTTTATAAACACAATCTGTTACATTTATTTTGTCATTTTAAAACTCAAGAAATTTTTTTTTCATTAATTATGGTTTGGCAATTGAAACTTTGTTGTAATATTTAAAGCATTCTTTAAATTCTCTATTTCATCTATTCTTTAAATTTAAATCATGCATTTGCTTTAAAATGGTTGCTATACATTCAAAGCTATGAATTATAATGAAAAATTGTTTTAGGTAGTTAGAGCTTCTAAAATATTCTTATAATATAATTTTAATTATTAATTAAATTTTTATTAAACCTTTATAAAGTTTTTTTAGTCATAAATCAAAGTTCTTACAGTGTATTTGAATAAGAATTTAAAAAAATCCAATTTAAATAAAAAAAATCTGATTTAAATATAAAAAAAATCTGATGTTTTTATTTTATTTTTTTATTTTAAGTCAAAAAAATTACGAACTCTAATCACAAGTAAGATCTGTGATGGTTAACTTCTTTGCTGATTGGACTTATTGTTAAACTATGTTACATTGAGTTTTTATTCCCCCCCCCTCCCTGTTTTTTTGTGCGAAATATTGTTTTTATGAATAATTTTTATACTTGTGTATTTAAAACTCTGCATGTTAAATCACCTACTGAAACTTTAGTTTTTACAAAATGTAATATTAATGTAATGTTTAACTTTGTAATAATGTAATATTTACTTTTTGCAAAATGTACTATGTTACATTGAGTTTTTAATTTATTTTCTGGTTTTTGTACAAAATATTGTTTTTATAAATAATTTTTTAAATTATGTATTTGAAACTCTACATGTTAAATCACCTACTGAAATTTTAGTTTTTACAAAAGACATATTTCACGTATTTTGTAATGTTCGTTGACTAAAAAAAAAGATATATTTCTGATGGATTATTGCCATGTACTGCTGAAATGTTATCTGGGATTTGTTGAATTTTTTTTTGGAAAACCTGAAAAAGTCACTCAACTTTATTTTTGAATTTAAGTGAGAACCGGTATCTATTTATATAAAAAAAAAAGTACTTGATATGTGCATAATTGCAAATTTGTCTAAAAATTCCAATATACCACTGAATTATGCAAGCTTCACCCGATTTTATCAAAATATTTTCTTGCTCTATTTTTTAAAAAATCTTCTAAATAGGGAAAATTTCTAAAAATTGAATTCTTAATTTTTTTTGTACTGAAAAGTGTCTATTTTTAAGTTAGTAATTATTTTTCTTTGAGAATTTTTATCATTTATGTTAATCAAAAATTAGTTGCGTCTATCTCAAATGAACTTAATATCTATTGCTATTTTAAATGAAGAATTTAAGAGCATTATAAAAGACTATGTATATATAAGTTTATTTTCTGACCATAACAATTGAAAAATTTTGCTGCGAATTTATGTGGCGCATTCTTTTCTTTTTTTTCTATTATATACTATCATTCTAAACACTTATCATTCTTTATCCATTCAATATGACATAGAAAAAGTTGTTTTTATAAATCAATCATAATTTGAATCATTAAATACATTTATCTATATACTATATTTTTTGAAATCTATAACCTGTAGAATTCTAATTATTATTAGTTATAAAATTGTTTCTAAATTTAGGGTTTTTGGCTATAAAATAGTAATAAAATATATTTTCAAATTGTTCAAGAAAAGCTTTTTGGAGAAAAACACCATATGATGTGTAGGCAACAAGGTGTTTATATGTAGTGGAAATTCCTAAAAACTTGTTAAGTACTTTTCCGAAATAAAACTTTATTAAGAAATAGTTTGATGTAAAAATGTTTCCACAGGAAAAAATATAACTTATCGCTATATTGTCCCTTCAAATAAGTAAAATTATTTTTGGTACTTTTTAAACTATCTTTGGCACAATGTTTTAGGACTACTTCTGCAAATGACCAAAATGAAATTGCTGGCAAATTCAAACAAAACCAAAAATATTTGTCAATATACAAAACAATATAATAAATAATAATGAAAATATTATAAATTATTATAATACATACATGTTACCAGCAAGGTATGAAATATAAGAATCATTACATACTTTATAGATAATGCTTAGGTATTCGATAGAATGATAAATGTTATTTTAACTAAGTCTGAAAAACGATCCTGTTAAGACTGTTATCTAAATGACGCGCATTCCTCAAAAATGCAAATGTTATTCTGAAAAAATAATACAAATGCCGGATTTCAAACTTTGTCGTTAACATATATAATAAATGATTGTCATTGAATTTGTTTAATCCAATTTTGGTTTTGGCGCAAGTCAAAATTATTTGACCAATTTGACACTTATGCTCATCTAACTGAAAACTGCCCTATTTTTTTCTGAAAGTAATTACTGATTACTTTGTTATGATCTATTTATAATTGCATTCATATAACTTTTCACAGTTTAAATTGAACAGTGAAATTAAAGTTTCAAGCACAGTTGAGAATGACAGTACTAATGCACTGTGTTCATCATTTTCATGCTGCAAATTTTTATATTATTGAATTTCAAGCTAAATTAAATATTTCACATTGAGTTGAATTTAATTTAATTCAAATGTTTGTTTTTTTTAAATCTTTTTAAAAAATAACTTTTTTTTCCCTGCACAATAATGCAGAATTCCAATTTGAAAAGCATATTTTAATTAATAATAACTTTTTTTTATTTTGTAGTAATTTATGCTAAATTGTTTTACATTATTTATATCTCTTTGTGTTGATTTTAGACTCCAGAAGAAGTTGCCCAACAGGCAGTAGATGCTGATGTACATGCTGTTGGTGTTAGCAGTTTAGCAGCTGGCCATAAAACTCTAGTTCCTCTACTAGCTAAAGCCTTGAAAAATCTCAACCGAGAGTATGATTTATTATTTTTTTTTACTTATTATGCTTTGTTATAATTAAATTAAGTATATTATTTTATCTGTAAAATATAGCTATATATTTATAAATAAACTAAAATTTTTAAATGAATTTTCTTACAACCTATTAACCGTTCTCATAGTTAATACTGTCACTATAAAAGTTGTTTCTCAAATTTATGTAAACCTTTGATTAAATCAATTTAATTACAACGTTCCAGGATGCCTGACAATGAATCAATTTGGTTACAATGATCGTCCCAGCTTCAAATTAAATCAATTAGTTTCAGTATGATCATTGCAGTTACATATTGATTAAATTTAATTACAATGCTTGTTATAGTCTCAGATTAAATAAATTTAATTACAATGTTTATCCTACCCTCTGGTATAATTGAATTGATAACAATATTTGTCACTGTCTCAGATTAAATAAATTTAATTGGGCCGGGATAGCCTGGTCGGTAGGGTGCTGGGCCCTTGACCGAGAGTTTGAGGGTTCGAACCCCGTCAGCCGAAGACTCCCCGTGTAGTTGGTGACTGATGCACGTTAAATTCTGTCGAGTCGCGAAGTCCTCCATGTTCCGTTAACAAATCAATATCTCTGGGGGTACTGGATTGGAGATCGATCATTCTCTGGATCAGGTCAAAATTATGATTGGTGGATGAATGTATGAATGGGTTTGCCTTATAAACGGGTGTGACGTGTGGTGTGGCAGAAGTCGAATTCTTGGCCATAGATGGCGCCACTGAAAAACGAGCAATCGCACCCCCTCTGCCTAAATGGCATACGTCAACAACAATAACAAATAAATTTAATTACAATGTTCATAACTTCAGATTGAATAAACTTGATTATAATATCTATTGTGTCTCTGACTGCCCTCTTTATTTGAAATCTTCAAAATTTCCCATATTGAAAGTTTTACCCTCGTATCAAATTCACATTTATGTCTTATTCATCAATATTTAAAATTAATAAATGTTTAAAACTAAACAAATATACAAATAAGCCTTATATATCCTACAATAATTTAAAAAAATTATTGTCAATTTTTTTCTCAATTTAATTGGATAAAAATGAATCACATTAAAATTCTTAAATACTTCAGTGTTGCAAAATACTTTATTTTACAAGAGTAGTTCAAAAAGCATAATTTGATGAACAAATAGCATACTTCACTTTGTTCATGTGCTGAATAATTTGAAACACCTGTATCAAGCCTGCTGGCTGTAGTTAAGTGGGAGAAAGAGATAAATTTTTTTCAAGTACTTTCTAAAATTTTAGATTAAATTATACTTTTTTTCTTCATTAACTTAATGTATTTAATTTTTTAAAAGTAATAGAATGTGGTTAGAATGTTTTGAAAGTAAAGCCTTAATTTTTAATCATTTTTATTTTTTAACAACATACTCATTCACTTGCAACTTGAGTTTTTGTTTCAAGTTGTATATCCTACATCGAGCCTTAAAAAAAGATTTCTTTTAATATGCATATGAAGGAATTGTAATAAATTAGTTGTGGTGATGTTCAGTTCATCACCACACACATTAAGATAAGAATAAAAATGAATAACAATTAAAAATAATATACTCTTAGGTAAGAGAACAAGATCATTAGAATGATTACTATTTGCAAGGTGTTAAAATTATTTATTCAATATAGATCATTTAAGATATTTAGAGTTACAAATTTTGTTCCAGGAAGGCATTCACTCCAATTAATAATACATAAAAATATAACATGAAATTATACATTATGAAGCTGCACTGCTAATTAATAAATAAATAAAAAATGATTGTGGGGTGATAGAAAATTTTATAATATGACTTAGCTGTTGAGGATCCTCATCTTTTTGTCTCTTAACCTCAGCTCTCCAAAACCATGTGTGTCCCTGCCTTTTCTCTCACCTCCTCTAACCAAGCCCCCAAAGCCTACACAACTCTTATTGGCTGTTACCACCATCACAAAATAAGTGGGGCTATACTTGCTATTTCTTTTATTTTTTTATTTTTGGCTGAATTATTTATGGGCAGAAAAGGGCAGGTGAAAACTTATGAAAGAGAAACTAAAACTTTAAAGTAATTATAGCAGTGCAGAGCAGTGCAGCAAAGATAAAAGTAACAAAATATCATAAAAGCAATACCACATATATATGACAGTTACAAAACATCATAAAAGCAATACCACATATATATAAAAGTAACAAAACATCATAAAAGCAATACCACATATAGATTGCTCAGTAATTTATGTTTTGAACTTATAGCGGAATTGTTGGAGATCACCCATAATTGTTAGAATCATATAAAGATATCAAACAAGTTTGATTCTTTTAGTATGAATGTATCGGAGAATTTCTTTTCTATAAAGGCTTTCTACGATTTTTAGAAATTGAAAAACAAATAGTTTATCCACACAAAGAAAGAAACTGATTTATGCAAATTAAGAAAATAAGATTTAAAATAATGATAAGTCAAAATAGAAAAGCGTTAAAAACAGCTAAAACAAATGTGTCTTATTTAAATAATTTAGGAAGTTAGAAACACAAATCAAACAAAAAAGGAAAAATTTCTAAAGATGTGCATGTTAGCAAATGCTCACATTTGCTTACATACACATCTTTAAAAATTCTTATTTTTTTGCTTGATTTGTGTTTCTAACTTTCTAAATTGTTTAATAAATTGTTAATATATTTTGTGTTTAATGAGAAACATTAATCTGAATAAATATTGCCTCAAGGAGTTTTTCACCCATATCTGATGAGAAATTCAGATACTTTTGTCTCATTGGAAATTTATGAAGTTCAGCTTAATAAGGTCAGGCTCTATTCTTTAAAAAGTGTCTCTTTCTTGCAATTTTAAATTATTTAGAATGTAGAAATTTTTCAGTGCATTTTAAACATTGAGTCATAAAATAAACAGGACTTCGATAATTGTAGAGTTCAAAAGTTTTTTTATTTGTTTATTATTCAATACATATGAACATTATACACTCAAGAGCCAAAACATTATGAATGTGTTCTATCGGATGGAGATTCGGTGAGTTAGGCGGCCAGGACATTAACTGGAATTCAGCATCATGTTCCTGGAATCACTCCAACTCAATTTGAGCCTTGTGACACGGAGCGTTGTCCTGTTTGAAAATTCCATTTCCAGCTGGAAAAATAGGGGCCATGTAAGGGTACAACTGGTCTGCAATGATGTTCAGATACCCTGTAGCATTCATAGTCTGCTCTACCACAACTACGGGTCTCAGAGACGCTCAAGAGAACATCCCCCAAAGCATAATACCGCCGCCACCAGTCTGTGTATGACCTACTGTACATTGAGGGAGCAACTGTTTGCCTGGAAGACGGCGTATCCTGACACAGCCATCAGCCTGATGAATGACAAACTGTGATTTATCTGACCAGGCAACTCTCCCACTCATCCATGGACCAGTCGCGATGTTCCTGGGCCCAGCGCAGGAATAGTTGGCGGTGATGCTTGGTCAGCAAAGGCACACGAGTGGGACGTTTTCTGCGTAGCCCCATATCCTACAGTGTCCGCTGAACAGTGTGTTCTGATATTATTCTACTTGATCCTGCATTGTATTGGGCTGTCAGCTGAGCCACTGTCTGGCTCTGGTTTTGCTTCACCAAGAGAGACAATCTCCGACGACCTTTTTCTTTGATAGTGTGTGGACGTCCAACACCATGTCGTCTACAGCTGGTTTCACCGTTATTCATCCACTTTCCATAAGCAACTGTAGATCGCGAACAACCCACGAGTCATGCAGTTTCGGAAATACTTGTTTCGAGCCTACGAGCCATTACAATCTGCCCTCTATCAAAGTCGCTTAGATACGCAGACTTTCCCATCACGCACAGAAGTAAGTGACAGAATGATTCTTCAAACTCTCCAGCAACAGTTAAAAACCACTTCCACCTGATCATGTGCCTTCCACGTCATCCAGGAGAGTTCATTGCAAAATGTAGGGGTGGTCATAATGTTTTGGCTCTTGAGTGTACATAACTGCAAATTTGTGGCGTTGAATATTAAGGAAAAGTTTTCTTCCCGGTAGCAAATTTGTTTTAATGTATAAATCTTTTTTTTTTTAAATTTTCAAAAAAATAAAAAAGTACCCATTATAATAAATTAATAATTCAAACATGTATAGAATTCCATTAGTTGTTGTTAAGTGATTTAAATTAATAATTTAAAAAATAAATGTTTTTAAATTGCAGATTTTAAACATTACTTGCATTCTGTTCAGAAATTTTGAAAAATAATAAAGTCTATAGCAATATTGGAAAAATGTTCGATAAACACCATTAATGTGTTGATTACCTCCACAGAGACATCATGATATTTGTGGGTGGAGTTATACCTCCTCAAGATTATGATTTTCTGTACAAGGCAGGTGCAGCTGCTATATTTGGTCCAGGTATGCTATCTTCATTTAATATTTTAAACCTCACCTTTATGAAAATATAACGTTAACTAAATAATAACTTCTAGAATGCTATTTTTTTTAAATATTTTATAACTGGCATTAAACAAACGACACATTTTATGGTCTTACAACCATTAATGTTCCACATCTCCTTAATTTTAAACTCAACCCAGAAGACAAGAGAACTCCTTGATCAACTTACCCGCATTTGCGCTGCACGAAGAGAAAAGCTATGAAAACTTCCCATGGCTAGTCAGTCGGTAAGGGTATTATAACCTATGATCTGTTTACCACTGGTGATATTTTACGACCGGCAGTGCAAGCCGGGAGTAGAATTTGTCCAACCAGCTTTTGCTGGGATTTAAACTTGGATCGCCTCATTGGGAGGCCAATGCTCGACTACAACTGTTCTCTAAAATACTATTAATGATAGTTAAAAGGAAAAAATATTTTTCTTTGGTTGTTATTTATGAAAGAGAAACTGTTTTGTGATTATTTCCACTCTCTGCCGGCAAGCAATTGACATCTAGCTGTTTATATTAGTTATTGAAATATTTTAATGCACTTTATTGAATATAAGAAGTTTGCAGTTTTTACTCTGCATAAAAGTAGAACAATTTTCATTCTAAGTACAGGAAATACTTGCCTTTTGGTGACATCAAACGGCTACAAACTAGTTAGACAAGTAGCATATATTGTGTGTGTTTATTTTTTATTAATATGATGCCAGTTATTTATTTTACTTTAATTCTTAAAAATGCATTGATGTTTTTAAGAATATCAAATCGTAGGTAATGATAAGAAAGAAAGCTAAAGCACTGAAAGACATTTTTGCAGAACCCTTAAAGTAAATTAAGTTTTGATTTAACCATTTTAACATCTCTCTATTTTTCTTGATCTTAATTATTTTACGTTAAATATAATACATATCAATATACTTTGCATACACCATTAATTTTGAGACTAATAATTTTAATGCACTTTATTGAATATAACAAGTTTGCAGTTTTTACTCTGCATAAAAGTAGAACAATTTTCATTCTAAGTACAGGAAATACTTGCCTTTTGGTCACATCAAACTGCTACAAACTAGTTAGACAAGTAGCATATATTGTGTGTGTTTATTTTTTATTAATATGATGCCAGTTATTTATTTTACTTAATTCTTTAAAATGCATTGATGTTTTTAAGAATAACAAATTGTAGGTGATAAGAAAAAAGAAAGCTAAAGTACTGAAAGAAATTTTTTCCAGAGCCCTTAAAGTAAATTAAGTTTTGATTTAAACATTTTAACATCTCTCTATTTTTCTTGATCTTAATTATTTTACGTTAAATATAATACATATCTATAAACTTTGCATACACCATTAATTTTGAGACTAATAGAAGAATAAACATTTTTTAGAATTATTTTTTATTACTACTACATAAATACTTTTAAATTATTATTATTAATGTAGATTATTTCTTTGTAGAATAAATCATACTTTATTATTAATAATCCGTTTGAAGTTTAGATATTAATGTTCAAAAGGTTTGTAATTTTAAAACTGTTTAGTAAAGTTGATTGGTAATAAACATGATTAATTATACGATGCTGTTTTTTTGAAATCCAACCAACTTCACAATAAAACTCATGGATGGCTATACTCTGGTTATCCAAAAAACTAACTTAGATCACAAATGTGATTCTCATGTTGCATCTCTTTAATATTCTTTTTTGATTTATTCTAATAATAACCTTAGTTCAATGCATCATTGTAAGAGATCTTACTTTCTTTTCATTCATTTTTAAAATTTGTATGGAATGAAAAAAAAAACAACGATTATCCACACAAGAATTCAGTACACTTTGTACAACGTAAAATTAAGCAAAACCACTTGAATAAATCACAAATAAAGGTGCAGAAATGGACTTACTTTAGTTTTGGCTCTAGAAACTAGAGTCTTCCTCAGTTTCTAAACACGGAACGACAGTTGGAAAGTAATGAGACAAAAATGTGCAAAGTGGTTAAATGTGCAGTAAGGAAAGAGGAAATAGGTATAGAGATAATAAAGATAATAGGTATAGAGATAATCCAGACTCCAGAGGTATAGAGATAATAAAAAAATAAAATAAAGAGTTAAGTTGTTTTCTCAAATGCTATCAAACTAAATTTCAGACCCTGAAGGCATGGGTGAAACTCTTAAGTCTTGAAGACTGAAATCAGTCTTGAGAAAGGATCCAGTTGATTGAATTTAGTCCTTCATTCAATATATATATCCATTTTGTTTTTTAAATTCCTTCAAAAAAATTTTTTTTTCCTGATGAAAATTTAAAAAAAACAATTCAGTTAAAATGAATATAAAAAAAATATTTCTTTAAAAAAAAAAAAACATTGTTATTTTTGTATTGAGTGTCATTGACTGAACTTGTACAAATAAAATTTTTATCGTTAAACCAGAATCTACTTGAGTTTAAATAGCTTTTCTATTTATATTTTATTTATTTATTTTATCTTTATTCTTATTATCTTATTATCTTTTTATTTATTTTATTAATAGCTTTGATATTTTGAGATGTTGGGTGAGGTTAAATTAAAAGTATTTTTTTTGAAGAATGATCTTGGAGATTATTTTTTTGAAAATTGAATAGAGGTATGCGTGACTCCGAGAAAAAGTCAGAATTTTGCAATTGGTGTAGAGAGATATACAAGGTTTATCTGTTATTTTTGATTTGTTCATAATAAAAAATAAGTTAAAATTTTAGAAGAAATAATCAAGTCATTCATAAAATAAATGGACCATTCTCATGGAAGTGATCTATTATTTTCAGAAATATTCTGTTTAATGTTTTGTTAATTGATCAAACAAAAATTTCAGTCTTGAAATTGATTTAGAGGGGCACCCATGCCTCCTATAAGCTTCTATTAATAGCTGGAGTATCTATCAAATTTCTTGTTAGTGTAATCGTGCCTATATTGTACAGGCTAAGCATGCCCCTTTATTTCAACTTAAAGAACGTGGAAGATCTGTCCAAAGTTAGGATATTAACTGACATTGTATCTCCCTATATAGTTTTAATTATAATAGTAAGCTTGAGTTTTCTTCTGCTAAGATCATCCAACACTACTAATTAATCTACTGATCTAAATTTCCGGGAATTATTCCAGACTTTGAAAAATTCTAATAACTTAATTTTAGAGAAATCTAATTTAATTTCTACATCTTGCACTCTCAAATTTCCACACTTTCTTAGCTACCTTCTTTTATTATCTGTTCTTCTTTTCCTACTGGTTAAATCACTTTGCCTCAGTACTTTTCTGCTTTCATTTGGTGTTTTGACACTGAGGAATTTTCCTGCTTATAGAAGTGAAACTTTAGTGTAACCATTTCGGTACCTTTATTTGTGCTTTAATAAACGAGTATGTTAAATTCAAGTGTAACAAAATTATGAATCAAATTAAATATTTCTTAAAAAAAGCTTTACTGTATTTTCTATTTAGGAACCAAAATACCAGCTTGTGCAATGAAAGTGGTGGAACTCATATCGAAATCCATCCAAGAGAGAGAAGCTGTCAAGTCGGCATCTGGGCAATAAATCTCATTCAAGTCTTTTCTTTATTCTGAATTTATCTTACGATTTGACTTTTTTTTATCAAGTTAGATAACATTGTCTAATTGAAGATATATAATGTAAGCACTGACTCTTGCCATTATTACTACTTGATGCAATCACTACTTATGTTCTATACATTGAATTTTTCATGTATGAATTGTTTTATTCTCATTCTTATTGTAAACTAAATTTAATGATATTTTTTTTTGATAGTTGAAATTGTGATATATATTTTGCATTTATTATTACTTAAACTGTATTTAAATAGCACTAAGATACTATAGTAGAAAGTCTACAAAAAAGTAGTCATACTATAAATCTACAAAAAAAGTAGTCATTAAATGACTGAGTGCAATTTAATTTCAGGGATTTCATGTGTTTTAAGTAATTTGCTTATGAGAGTTGAAATTCTTCTAGAAACATTATTGCCAAATTTTGATTTTTACATATTAACTAGCTTTGTCAAAATCTCATTGTTTTGCACATCAATATTCCTGTTATTTAAAATGTTTTTTTATTATATTTTTATAGTTTATTTTGTTATTATTTTCAACGTACCTATACATCCTTTTGCAAGAAAAACCTGTAATAAGAAGATTAACTGAAAATGAATATATTAGGTTGTGTTCAGTAAATTCCGATACTGTCTATTGCATAGATTATGTTGTCCGTTGGTTTGAAAAAAAAATTTAAATTATACGGACAGAAATATGCAGTTTATATAAGTATTTTAATACTATTTATATACTATATTTTATACTATTTTATTTTAATTAAAAATTAAATAACTTTTTTTTTGTCAAATATACAAAGAATTTTTGCTTCAACTGTCTTGATTGTTCCAAAACAGATTTCCTTAACTCTAAAAAAATGTGGAAAATAATTTTTAGATCTGTTATTATTATAATCATGTTGAATTTTTCCCTATTGAGAAATGTGTTTTTTATATTTAACATATTTGATATATTTTTATATACAAAGCATTTAAAAAATAATAAATGAATTTTTGTAAAATTTTATTTGTGTGGTTAATAAATAAAAAAACATTCATATAATCTGTTTTTTACAAATTCCTGCCATTTTCATGTTCTACATTTAATTATAATTCTCTTCATTTTCTGCAACCCCTAATTGGCTTATAATTGCATGGCTTGGTATGTTAGGTTATTAAAATATATCTATGGGTTTTGTGTAAAACAAAAACAAATTTGCTCTTGTATTGCAATTCAAGGATAAATCTTTTGTACCCTAAAATTCGTTTTCTCATAAATTTTTTTCTGATATTTTTACCCTCTTTTCTTTATTCTTGCATTAAATTTCTTTCTTTAATTTGAGGATAAAGGTCACCAGTCATTGCTTTTATAAATAGGTATATTACAGAATGTTTTTGTATTAATTTAATTGCATCAAAATATAAGGGTATAAAATCGTCTGAAATGTTTTTTGACACTTATGCTAAACAATATCTAGAGTTTGTGAGTATTTATATTATCAGCATTGTGTTTATTACTGCAGTTTTGGAGTCTTTGTTCAAAATTTATAACAAGAAATATATTTTTTTAATTATTTTAATAATGTTTAAAATAATGATAAAAGTAAAACATTTCTTTGCTTGACTTAAATACAGTAGGACCCGCTTATAACTAACCGCATTTACCAAGATTCCAGATAAAACAAGGAAAACAGAGTGTTTTGTTTGGTACAATGTTAAAAATATATTAGAATATACTCTTTTAGCAAGCAATTTTTCTCTCTCTCTTTTTCTCGGATTTAACGAGAGAATTAATTTTGGAAACAAGAACAATATTGACAATCTAAACTATTTTCAAAAGAAGGAGAAAAAATTTTAATATAATTGAGAAACACTTTCATAATTTTTCAAAGTTATTCAAAACCAAGTGTAACCTTCAGAGAAAGGGAAATAGCAGCGAAACTGGACTTAGCCCATTATTTGGTTTCAACTAATAAGGAAAGAATTTTTAGGAGTGAAAAATAACTCTCGAGATGCATGTTTCAGAAACATTAATGAATTCAGAGCTACGTATAAGAAGAGCTCATTTCTGGCTTGTATCTTTACTTGAAAGCTTACTTTTTATTGAGCAGATTTGAGATGTCGAAAAGAAAAGTTTTGTTCAAAATTATTTAAAAAGAAGAAATTTCGCAATATGTAAACAGTTTGGAATTTCATCTGCTACTAACTCCACGCGATTGAAAAGCAAGGAGTGTTTAATGATAGCATATGAAGCGAATGTGACTAATTTAGCAACAGTAGTCTTGTTTACCGATAACTGGACCTATCATGAAAATAAAAGTTGAAAAATTTGCAGCTCAACTGGGATTCACAGATTTTTCGTGCTCCAATGGATGGATGACTTCGTAAAAAAGTCAAAACATCTGTGCCGGAAAAATTATTGGTCAAGCTGCTTGTGTAAAGGTGTAACTTATTGGTCAGATGCTGTATGGAAAGATTTGCTGGAAAGTTATGCAAAAGAAAACATTTATAACGTATATGATTTTGGCCTCTTCTATGATGTAACCCCTTATCAAATGTTAAAATTTAAAGGGGGGAATGCGTGGGTGGTAAGTTGTAGGAAAATCGCTTAACTGTATTGTGATGCAAATTGTCAACAAAAGATAAGAAAAAACTTTTTATTTTAAGTAAATCTGCAAAACCAACAGACTTTAGCTGAGTAAAATGCCTACCAGTGACTTATAGATCTAATAAAAAAGCATGGATGATTTCAGAATTATTTGTTTCATTTTTGTCTGAGTTGGATTAGGTGCGTGAAAAGTGTAGTGTGTCTACCACTACGGAAATGTAATTCTAATTCACTAGTATTAAGATGATTTGCCACTTTCAGTGTGGGTACAGGGTTGCCACTCCTCGGGGAAAACCTAGAAAATACAGGGAATTTAAAAAATCACCTAAAATAACAGGGAAAATGCAGGGAATTTTGTTTCTTATTTTCGTCTTTTAAAAAAGAGTGATACTCAAAGTGATATTAAAAGAGTGATAAGGGATGTTTGAGGATGATATTTCAGCTATATTAAACTATTTCATTTACTGTAGTACTACAGTCGACTCGTGTTATAACGACCTTGTGATAGAACGACCAACATGATAGAACGACCAACATGATAGAACGACCCTGTGAAGGAGTCCCAATTCACATCCATAAAAGATAACGTTATTTTACTCTTGCTATAACGACCGTAAAAAAGGTCAACTCCTAATATAACGACCCTCTCTGAATTTGAACACCGCTCTTTTCTAACTTCCTATTGGAAAGTGGGGTCGAATGGTTGACCTTGAACAAGCACACCTCTGTTCCAGCGCACCACAAATTCTTAATTGTTAACAGTTGTAATTCAATTGTTAAAATGTCATTATGTTTTATTAATGTATGTATCCCATCCTTTTTTGGCTTATACCACAAGGCTTATACATTTGACTTATAACATGTATACCACAAATAGTCTAAGCATGCATTGTGACGTTTAAAACTATTATGTGACCGATTTTCAAAGGAAATTTGCTCATTTTGATATAGCGACCATTTGATATAACGACCAGATTGGGACAGTCCCGATGGGGTCGTTATAACGCGAGTCAACTGTATTTGTGTTGAGTATGTTCAGCCTCCCTTTTTTTTCTCTTAAGTTTTTAGTTGTGAGTCATACAGTGGTTGAGTGTCTCCTCTTAATATATTGTATATAATATGTGCAGGGAAAACAAAGGGAATTTTTTTCCTTACAGATTTGAGTTAACTCTAGATTACAACAAAAGAACATTAAGGAGTTTAAACATCGATGATTCCACGAATGTTGATGACAATGTTCTAACTACGGTGTGCTCTCAAGTGAAGATATCGTTGCTGAATTAAAAACGCGAGGAAAAGACACTGAATGTGGTGATGCGGAAGCAGAAACTTTCCCTAAATCCAAATAATTTTTTTTTAACTAATCTATTAAATAAATTAATGGTGACCTTTATGGTCATATTAGGAGAAATTCGATGCAAAGAACAAAATAAAAAGGGAAAAATTTGAAAAAAAAAATAATGAAAAACGAATCTTAGATAACATTTTACTTTTGATGAAATTACAATACAGAAGTGATTATTTTTTTTTTTGTATAATAAGCAATTTTTATTTTGTATCACCCTGAAGATAAAAATCCAACTTCAGGGTAGATTATGAGTAATCAAGTTTTAATCCACGAATAACACACTGCGCATGGTGCTAACCGTTGGACCACGCTTATAAGGTGTTCGGGCGACTATTTAGCTTCAAGAACACACTCACGATTAGTCAATCAAAAGGGTTTTGGACCCTTTGCAGAGTGGCACAGTGGTTCAGCCCATTCCTTTGGCACAGTGGTTCAGCCCATAGAGGTCTACTTCCGGTCTGAGTTTGAATATTATAGCTTAATAATAAAGGGAGTTACGCAGTCTTGAAATTTGAGTCATAACGCGCCATTTTTATTATTGTTTTTATTCCATTGTGTGTTCTTTAACAAAGAAATACACTACTTCTTATAGAAAAAACATCTTTCGCATGCTAAACTATCCAATGTATTGTAAAAATATAAAATAATACAAATAAATTAATTTTCGGGTATTTTTCCTCTTTTTATGCACGATTCGCCATTTCCATAATAAATTTTTTTTATTTTTTATACGTAGAACCCTATAAAATATCGAAAAACACAATAAATCAATAATATAATGTAAAATAAACAATGGAAGGAAAAAATTTAAATATTGACCACAGCCGGGACTCGAACTTGCACCACCTCGTTAAAGGCGTAAGTTACTAGTCCAGCCTTTTACCACCAGACCACTCTTGTTCAGGGACCATGCGACTACATGGCTTCAAATGCGTTCTCCCGGCTAGCTAAGCGAGAGATTTTAGGGGCCATGTGCTCCCCCCTAATTCATGCAGGACCCTCCAGAAAATCGAAAAACACATTTAAAAAACAATATAATGTAAAATAAGCAAAAGAAAGAAAAAAAAGAAAGTCTTGAAGAAAAGAGGGGGTCTTGAAATTTGAACCTTTCACGAGACATTTTATTTTTTTAATCTTTTTTTTATTATTCCATTCCGCTTTCTTTGCTGGATTTCACACACATAGAAAACACCCCATGCATGCTAGAATATCCAAAATGTTACAAAATAAGTAGGAAAAGAGCAAATAAACTGATTTTCCAGGATTTTTCAAGTTTTTACCCATTTTCCCAATAAAAAAAATTTATTTCCTACATGCAGGACCCTCCAGAATATCGAAAAACACCTTAAAGAATATAATTTAAAATAAACAAAAAAAAAAAAGAAAATGTTTTCAAAATTTGACCGACCCTGGGATTCGAACCCAGGAACCCTCCCTCCTGCAGCGAACTTNTATCTTCAGCAACCTTGTTTGGACCATAGACCCCTACTTAGGGAGCGAGTTTGAAAATTATACCTTGACATTAAAGGGAGCTAGGGGGTCTCGAAATTTGAACCTTTCTCGAGCCATTTTATTATTTTATTCTTGTTTTTTATTATTCCATTACGCTTTCTTTGCTGGATTTCTCACATAGAAAAAGCCCCATGCATGTTAGAATATCCAAAATGCTTCAAAATAAGTCGACAAAGAGCAAATAAACGGATTTTCCAGGATTTTTTAAGTTTTTTCATATTTTCCCAATAAAAAAAAGTTATTTTCTACATGCAGGAACCTCCGTTTATTTTAAATTATAATATTTTTTTATGTGTTTTTCGATATTCTGGAGGTTCCTGCAGTAGGAAAAAAATTCTTTTTTCGGGAAAATGGGAAAAAACTGGAAAATCTTGGAAAATCAGTTTATTTGCTCTTTTTCGACTTCTATTGCAACATTTCGGATATTCTAGCATGCATGGGGTGTTTTCTGTGTGTGAAGTCCAGCAAAGAAAGCGCAATGGAATAATAAAAAAATAAAATGGCTCGAGAAAGGTTCAAATTTCAAGAACACCTAGCTCCCTTTAATATCAAGGTA